ACTAGTAACAAGGGCATTACTACTAGATAGAGAATACTAGTAACAAGGGCACCGTTACCAGTAACAAGGGCATGCCTCACAACTCCCAACATCTCCCAACCTTTGGCCCTGAAGATCACGCCCAAGCCTGCTGAGGGTTTCCCCACCAAGCCCACCTGAGGCGTGTTGTTCCCCGGGCGTGTCGTTAAGGGGTGTCCCGTTACCGTCCGTTTCGGGCGACCATAAGGGCTGCGCCTGAATGACCGAGGAGAAGAACAGTGCGAGCCATAAGGAGTTCGGGCAACGGTACCATCATTGTACTTTAATAACAATATCTAATCTCATATGATTCATATGATGTATCATCATTATTTATCTTGTATGATCATTATGTCATACTACGTCAATGTGTACATATATATATATACCAGCACCCTCCAACAGGTCTCCTCTGGAGGCTTTTACTGACTTAAAAGTCGCAGGTGGTAACCTGTTGGAGGGTGCTGGTATGTTTTTTGATCATATACAACATGCTGAATCCTTTTGAGCCATCTTGAAAATCCAAGTCTTCTGCTCCATTCACCACATTCCCTCCCCCTGACCTTGCCGAATCCAAAGAAAACACCCTATTCCTGCGCGGCACTGTAAAGCGCCATGGTTTTCCGTAGGCGCCGGCGCCACACTGTCGCGCCCAGGATCTGCTGCCAGAGCTGCCGTCCGGCAAAAGCTCGGCGGCCTTCCTGGTAAAAGCTCGTTGGATCTGGGCTGAGAGGGAATAGAACCGGCATCTCTTCGTTCACCCCTCTTTTGCCCAACTGTTGAGTTCCGAATCTGTTTTTCCAACATCTGCTGCAGCATCCAGCCCTGAAAAAAGGGCGACCTGATGCGACATGTATTCACATTGGCTTTACCAGGGTTCACCCTGTCAGGTCCGACCATGCAGCCCGAAGTCTCACAGCTCTCGTCCCAGATTTGGTCCTCGAAACCCGAACGCCGGTTAGGCGCGAAGAGGGATGCTCCCTGCCTTTTCGAAGGGGGTGTTTGGTAATGGGTGCCTCTCCACCACCCCTTGGTGGAGTCCTGGTATGTATATATTATATAGGTTGATTTCCTTCACAACGTGATTTACTCGCACGTCTATGTCGCAACTTTCAACTTTGAACTATTGTTTGCCTTGGTTGCCACAGCGGCCACCCACAGTGGCTCAGATCTGGATCCAGCTGTTACGTCGAAGCGGGAATCGCGGTGGTATCGAGGCTCTTCTCTGCTTGGGTCAGGAGTTCTTGGTCAACTTGCGCATCTTCACCTTTCTAAGGCGGCCAAGGGCACCGAGCACCGAACACCGAAGCCGCCAAGAGCGGAGTGTGTGAGTTGGGGGTTCGGAAAGCACGTGCAGCTGGTGAAGACATCACATCTCAGAGCCGTGTCACAGGTTGACCGATGGCCTGGAACTGTGGAACTTGGATGTTTGAGGAACTGTCCCAGAGTTGTAGTTGGTCTGGATCAGTGGGAAAGTATTTTTTAACACAGGATAACAAGGAGTGTCCAAAATCAATTTCGTGCGTGATGGTGGTCGAATAGTACTTCGTTTCTTTTGTATCGTTGGTAGCGTTGTAATTAGGGATGTTACTGAAACCAAACCAGCATGAGCCGACCGAATGTTCAGCTACATCGTCTTTTTTGGCATCCTGAAACCCTACATCCGGACCTCAAAAATTAACGTGTTGAGGGTCCAAACCCGTGGGTTGCAATTACCCAGCGGTTGTCCACTCTTTGAGTTCCTTTGCGTTCCAATGGTTCCTCCCAATGGTGTATGCGCACAGGCCTCCAACAACGCCAAACACAAAGCCAAAGGACAAAGCCACCAGGCTTCTGCAGGTTCGTCCTCTTCTGCAGTGCCATCCTCATTCCGGACACTAGGCATGAGCGAAACAACGGCAGGAAATCATGAAAATCCCACACCAGCAGCCCCTAACACCATGTACATCTCAACATATCTCAGCCGACCCACATGAATATGAACCATATATGTATGAATGCTTTCCAATGCCCAAACAGGAATTCCGACAGTGTTGCCAAACTGGGCTGCCATCACTGTCACGTCAAGAAGGTTTGGATTGCTTGGGCAGTGGGCGAAAAAAATTGAACATTCACTTCGTCACTCTTCCTGCGGCCCTGCTTCGCTTGGAAGACCTTGATCGATTGTGACCCCGTGCTCTTCAATCCATCGTTGTGCCTCCTGCAAAGGTTTTGCTGGCTTTGGCCCCAGCAGACCTCTAGGGTTTCAACCATTGGGCAATCGCAACGCGCAAAAGACATCCCCCCGAGCAGCCACCAGGTGTTTGGGCCCAATCATGTGCCCCTTGGTGCTGCAGGCATTACCCGCGCGAGTGTGCCATATTGCCTAGACGCTCCACCGGACTGCCATATATGCCAACATGGACCCCCAAGCCACCCCAATGTAGGCAAATATACTATACATGGAGCGTCTGGGTTGCGCCATCAATGAGCTTCCACGGATATCATGAATGTGCGGAGATTGAACATTTTAGCTCGCAAACCGTCAGTCAGCTGCACACCTGCACACAGTCAAGTGCCATCAAAAAACGGCAAGCGCAGCGCCAAAGTGATACACGTTCCAGTCAAAAGAGCGAGCACGTGGGCGGGAAACACGCAGCAGCTCATCCTCCACATCCAAATCAGCGAAGTGGATCATCTGCATCTGAATCAACGAGACCATGTTGGGTCGTCGGAAAGGTTGCCTTTCCGGGCAACCCCCCCCATTGACCCAACATGCTGTACCAAACAATTCGTTACCAAACATGACTTCTCCAAAGCCCACACGGCAAAGCAAATGCCTGCCGCACATCTTCGGTAGCCCCAAAGACTAAAGGTCTACTGGTCACTGGATTCCACTGACAGGCGGCGTGCAATAAAGCAGGGGCGATCAACTCGCCCACTCGCCCAGTGGTCTTTCACTTGCCCTGGTGATCCTTGACCTGACACTGTAACTTCATGAATATATATATATATACGATATATATATATATATATATACAATATATATAATATATATAAGCAGTCACTGTCATCAGTGCGCTTTGGTCTTCTGGAGGTGGCCCAGGGCCCACCTCCAATGAGCAGGAAGAAACCGTCCGAACTCAGTGGAGTCCATGGCATCAGTTCATCCACAGTCCCTCAGTCCATGTCGCCCCCCCTAGTCTGTGGCCACTACTCGCCCACGAGCGTGGCCTGAGAGCGCCGACAAATGCGGAAACCGTGGGGGGGAGCGAAAAAGAGCAAGGCTCCTTTGGTAGGGATTTGCTGTCGCTGGAACACACATTCCCCAGAATCAGAAGAGGATTTATAAGGACATTGAAAAATGGCTAACATCAGCGAAACCAGGGTATAGATTCTCGGCTGTCCGGGTGAGTGTCGTTGGCATCGAACATCACCGGAAGGACATTAACTCATGGGCTCGTCGAAAGCAGCACGGGAAATACATCAACAATCATCAACACATGGGACGGATCCAAAACCTAGATCGTCCAACGATCAAAAGGTCCTGCCGAACTTGGCTGGTTTCAAAGGATGAAGTTCGGCAGAATCGTTGCACAGTTGGAAAGGTCTCGGAACCTGGTTGGAGGCCAGCGCTAGTAGAACAGATTCAGCAGAAGCAGCTACCAAATGCATGGTTGACTCCGAGGCGGGGATCTGCTGTCGGGATCGGCCTCCTGAAATGGGGGTTGCCTGCGCATGCCTGCACTGCCTGCGCTGTGCCATTGACCCAGTCAAGTAGTATGGGATTGTCACTGCCCCCGAAAAGCAACAGGATAACTACAGCATGAGTATTGGTTAGAGATGGCTAGAGGGCGTTCACTTCCCTGTGGATCTTTTCGAAAGACTCAACCTAATTGATTTGAGGCTGAAGCGCTAGGAGTCACAATTATGCTCAAATGGCTTTGCTTGCGCTTGATCTTGTAGTGAAACAGGTGGAATAAGGAACCATCAAGAACCATCAAGAGGCCTATCGCTAAGAATTCAACAGGCAACACTGAACATCAAGCCGCAAGCTGTGCCAGGACATGCACCTGTCTATCTACTAACAAATGAACCTCAACGTATGCTGCACATATCTACACCCTGGAAAATTAACATGACATGGGTTGTAGAGGAAAATAGTTTTCCAAAGGTCTATTTTCAGGTTCCATGTGGGCCTCTTCCCGGGTCTAATTCAAATGGCCACCCATGCTCGGTCGCGTGACGGTCCCGTCCTGCACCATGGCCATGACACTCGGGAAGCCCTCTGGCTCCCGGGCGGCTTCGACCGCCTCTAAGAGCTCTCGCCGGCGCAGTTGGACACCCAAATCCTCCTCAGAGCAAAGCAGTTGGAGGCCGCTACCAGTTAAAGGCCGCTACTAGGTTGGAGGCCATCGCTGCAAGTCCAGTCTCAAAGGGATCACTGGCACTCCGAGGGACATGGAAATGGACGATGCCGGGCGTGCGGAAAAAAAATCATCCGATACTTGGGGCCATGCCATCCACGTAACCAGGATGATTTCGGAGAGGCTCTCATCAGTATGATGCTTCTTATACATTGTAACAGTGGCAAGATGTCTATCCAACAGATGGGGATCCACTACTAAACCACCGAACTTGGTGATTGTGCCATCTACTCTCAATCCACTGTAAATCCCTATGGATCCACATACCTTCATCTCAGAAGGCAATTGGACCCTCCAAGCCGCAAGCCTGCATAAATAGTCTCCAATCACCTTCTCAGAAGGTATGTGGATCCACTGTACATGTTGAAAGGGGTGAATCCTCCACCCACCGAGCTGGGCTTGCCGCACGCACGACTCGCCCTGCCCTGCGCCCCTGGCGCCTGTGCCATCGCGGGGAGGCAAGCGATCTCGCCAAGGGACGGAATCCAAGTCGCAGACACAGGGCACTTGTGGATACAAAGGCGGGAAAAAGAAACGCAAGGAGGCCCGCTCCTCAGCTCCAGGCGACCCAGGATTGAGAGGGGATATTGGGAGAAGAACACATGCATTGGCATGGTGTGCGAATGATTCCAGGAACTACACAAGTGTGCCATACTACATGGAGTGTTTGGGCTATGCAGTGTACATAATACGACGTTGCAATTCCTGGCCCAACAAGGGTTCTTAAACTTCTGGAGTCGTTGCATCTGTGTAGGGTGGTGAAAAACGAGCTCAGCACAAGAAGCTGCTCCTGTCGGGCCAGCCCAAGTTGAACATATACCGATATATACCGAAGACCTTCCAAGTATGCAACATTTCTGCAGAGCTTGGCTGGCTTCACCGATGCAATTCCAGACTTGTGCCACAGTTGGAAGATCTACAACAGTGTGAGAGGGCAGTTTCGTCCCTTGAATCTTTCAGCACCGGCCCTCGCCGCCCCCGGAAGCAGCTGCGAAACGCACCAAGCCGCGTGGAGGACCTTGACGGCGAGACGCACGGGGCAGGTGGGCTTGAAGATGGTCAACTCCTGCGTCTCGCGCGGAGCCCGCGGCATCCGGAGGGGCAAAGAAGCGCGTGGGAACGCGGGGCAGGGGGGAGAGCGAACTAAGAAGGTGAGGGAACTAAGAAGCTGGCAAACTTGAGGCTGTTGGCATGACTGGCCACTTGTGCGCGGAACATGGACCATCTACTTTCAGAAGAGGTGTTTGATGTTGACTTCAAGACCAGAAGGGCAAATTCAACACTGGCATCCACTAGCACCTCCTAGAATTGGAGCCAGGAGCCCCCGACGCTGACCCCCACACCGAACGCAAACCAAACTTCCTTTCCTACAGACCGAGAAGTGGATCAAGTAATGATCAAATCTGCTCGAAGCTGGCCGGATCTCCTCCATGAAGATGGAGGCCAAGGCCTCAACCTCATCTTTTTGCTCTTGGCTCAGCCGATCATCTGCCTCCTTAGGGTCAGGATGAGGAATTATATGGACACCGTTCATCGGCCAAAAGGGAATCGCAAGGGGGTCGAAGCTTCAGGACCCACGAGATGGGTGGTTTTTTGTGGACACCCCGAATTTCATCAGACACCCATAGACACCCCGATGGGGGGGGCCGGAAGCTGGAACAGCTCGTTGAGCTTCCTGTGTCATTCCTTGATCCAAAGGCCGGTCGGCTTCATCCCACTGCACTGAGCGACTCAGCATGCTTACTGGAGCGACTTATGAGCGAAGGATGGCGAGTTCTCTGCGTCCGCATCCACAGCTTGGAGCATCCTCGTGTGTTTATTTTGCATGAGGACGCGCGATCAACATCTATGATGTGCGGCTAGTTCATCGTCTAAAATGTGAGCCCCTATCGTTTCCCAATGTGTGTTTCCCGTGAGTCCCCCAGCATTTGTCAGGCCTTGGGGCATTCCCAGCAATGAATGCAACGCTCTGATGCAACTGTAGTCTCGCAAATGTCGAAGGTACATCATATCAAAGCCATCACTATTAATTTAAAAAACAAAAACAAATATAACTATAACCATCCGGGAAGGCTGTAGTTTGTCCACGCTTGGGCCATCGAAGACCATTGCAAAAACCAAGTTTGGGCTTGCCACCTCCTCAAGCTGCCTCTCAAGCTTCCTTCCACACTTCTCGCAACCCCCAGCAATGACTTGACTGCCGAAGCTGAAAAAAACTTCCAGCATCTTCCAGCACCTCAGCACCGCCTGCAAATTCTCGTGAAAGAATTTTGACATATTCCAACCCACCAATCTTTCGCGCCACCCCTCCTGTCTCCTCCTGTCTCCACCGCAACCTGAGCCCGAGGGACGACCTCCTCCACACTCGCGAGCTCCTCGGGCAGCAGCTGCTCCCGGCGGAGCTCCAGAAACTCGCCCAGGCGGCGCAGATCCTCCGAGCGCTGCGAGAAGACGTGGCCGGCCTCGTGCTCCTGCGAGGCCGTTGGGAGGCCAAAGGCATCGATGAAGCATCCTTCTTTTCTCAGCTGACCAAGTATACCCTACTAGTGTGGGCTCCTGGCCGCCCCCTCCGATCTACGGTGGTTAAATGTGGGTGCTGCCCCAGTCACAGCACGCGAATGAATGTGAATGATATCAAGCTTCTGCTTCTCCACATGACAGACTTAGTGGGCCCCGAAAATCGGCGGCAAATCAGATCTCAACACTTGCATCCAACTGCGGCATCATCACCCACCTCGCAATAGGATCTCAGATACTTGCTAGCTACCCCGCGTCGCATACAGGCACCGAATCCTTTAATCTCATCTTGTCCCTTTTCGTTGTGGCTTTAGTCGGTTCTTTGTGCGTGAAGAGTGAAGAGTGTCACGGAAGTGACACATCACCTAAGGCCAGGGCCAGGTTCGCCCCGCCCCAGGTTCGCGAACCAAAGACCTCAAAACCACCTCGGCCCCGACCCGGTTGCTCCAGCCATTCGGCATTGGAAAAGCGGGCCGCAAGGCGCTTGCTTTCCTCCAAAGGCACCACGGTGTCCTCAGTGCCGACCGAGCACGGCACCAGGCCTGGCACCTCCGCAGATCCCACCCACACCAGCATCTCGACAGCCTCCCGCGCTAAGCCGGCCCGACCACGTTTTTTTGACACGTCCCTTCGCCTTGCTGGAGGCCATGTGCAGCGACTTCATCCCTTCCGCGGCGCAGGACTCTGTGAGCTCCGGGGAGGCCGCAAAGATTCCGAAGCGCAGCGAAGCAAAGGGCCTCGGGACAGTGCCCGTGAGCCCGTGAGCCCCACACCAATGGGACTGGACGAACGATGGCTGTACCAACCACGCTCAATGTATGCAAGTGCAGCAGCGTCATGGAGTGTCTGGAAGTGTGGTGACCCCACTCACTCTCGGAATGTCTGCTAACTTACAGAGTCTTGCTAGTCTTGCTTAGACATCATTTGGTTGCAGGTTGAGAGACCACCATGAATCATTCATCAGGGCCCTGCATGAGGATCATGGTGGTGTCATCAACAAACCTATTTCCTGGCCCGCAAACAGCCATTGAACAAAAATGGTAGGATGATGTTTTTTGGCCAGTGGAGGTGGCAGGGCATCGGGCATCATTGACATAGATGCAAGGGCTCCATGATGCTCACCTCCAGCTTTTTCTCAAAAGGGCACCAGTTCCAAAGTTTTGAGGTGCACTTGGAGTCCTGCAGCGCTGGTGGAACCAAAAGAATTCACGGTAATCAGTACTGCCAATCGACTGGGAACCGGGGCACTGCAACCCTCTACCCCCTTGCATGGTCCCTTAACTTTTCCCGTGGAATACTAATTATCTTCCTCATGTTTCCTCTACAACCCAGTTTTCAGAGTGCATTTTAATCTGCAGGAAGCGCATTCCAAAGTTCAAAAGTCGATGGAAAGAAACCACACTTCGGAAGAATCTTAGGCCCTGAGTGAAATACATGGCGACGGGAACACTGGCATTACCAACAACCTGAGACTAAGAATGATCACCAGTTACTATTAAAATTAAGCCTTTCAGGATTTCAACCTCCTACACCCATCTCAGAACTGGTTCAAATCCCAGCGACTTGTGGCATACCTCCATTTCAACCACCTCAGAAACACTGAGCCCAGAGTCTTGGGTCAACCGGAGCACCGACCTCACTCGCACGGGACCTCACTCAAAGCTGGATCCACTCATCCATGGCACCGTGGCTACGTCGACCCCGAGGACCTTGTTCCGAAGAGCGCGCACCACGGGCATAGGACTGCCGCCCCAAACAGACCCCCCTAACAGACCCCCCTGGCCGTTTCTCGGCATTTTTGTAACGCAGTCCCAGGCAGGTCGTGTCTGGGTGTTCATTCCACGAAAAGTCGCCGCGATGAGTTCAACGAGTGTCGACTGACACAGCACCTGGGAACCACCCAGCTCTGACTGACCGGACAGCACGTCGCTACGATCGACACCAAGTGTCGACTCGCCCTCCGAAGCCTCGCGGCCGCGGCGTTCGCGGCGGCGGCGTTCGCGGAACGGGCGAGTCAACGAGCACTGCCAGGGGCGCTTGGGGTGGTTCCTTCAGTTCGGGATCACCTGGCTGTTGCCGCCCCAGCCCACCACTTAGGGGATCTCCATTGAACACCCCTTGAATCTCCAGGTATACTGCTAATTACTAAAATACTGCTATATTTATATATAGAATTATATAGAGGGCCATTTTTGGACATAGGGGACCTTGGTCTTTGTGGGATAATTTCCAAGAGGCTGACCATCTCGCTCAACCACAGACTATGGCCATTACCAGAATCTACATGATCAAGGTGGACTTCAACTGCCTCAACTGATCTCATTGTCAGTAGGTCGATTGAATATTCATTTTGCTGTGAATACTGCCCCATGCAAAATGAATATTCAATGATGGAAAGGTAAGGATGCATATATGCATTGGGCATTGTCAATCGCATATGCCCCATGCATCCTTACCTTTCCATCTCGATGTAGTTATATAATGCTTCGTACACTTTAGCCTCGTGACCTCGTCGTGACCTCGGGTTCCCTGTGAAACTGGTCGCGCCATGTCGCGCCATGTCGCGCCACACGTGACCTCGACTGGCCTCTGTTCAACAGTTTCAAAATGGTTCCCCGTGAAAACCATGTGCTACTGCTAGCAACTAGCCTCACCGATTCTTAGAGCCCAAAGCCACCCAAATCCACCCCCACATCCTCATTTTTTGAGAGACCCCACATCCACGCCACAACTAGACCCCCCTAGCCTTACCACCCCCAACCACGATTCCGCGGATGCACGGCTCACCTTCCGCGCGAGCACGCTTCCCACCGAGGGGCCCAGTGACAGGCCAGTTGCGCCACGAGTCCGCCTTCCGAGAAGCCCAGCACCCCCTCGAAGGGGCCCAACTCGCTCCATGCTTGGCTGAGCACCTGGCCGGTCCCCGAGACCAAGGCCGGTCCCCGAGACCAAGGCGGGTCCGCGAGACCAAGGCCGGTCCCCGAGACCAAGGCCGGTCCACGAGACCAAGGCCGGTCCACAAGACCAAGGCCGGTCCACGAGACCAAGGCCGGTCCCCGAGACCAAGGCCGGTCCACGAGACCAAGAGGAGTCGAGGCACGCGAAACAAGCGAGTCTGTTCAGCAGAAGTGGGTCTCATTGGGGTTAGGTTTTTGGTGATCCAGCAGGTCAATGTTGGCGTCAGTTGGTGGGAGGTGTGGCACCAGGATTCAAGTATCCCGGCGATCGGTTGTGTAGTGTAATTCGCCCACCGAATCACATCAGCAGCAAACAGCAACGGGAAACACAACACCCCTAACTGACTCCAACCCCTTGCCACCATCCAGGATTATCGATTAAAGTTTAAAGAAGTGCACTCCTTCCGGCTACCAACAAGGCAACAGAGTTGGTTGTCATGCACAAAATTGTGCCACACTGACCTTTCTAAGATTGGGTATAACAGTCTTGGTGAGACCAAAGGCAAATGAGTTAACCAAAAACCAATGCAACCAACAGAAACTGTTGTTGCATAACAACTCCTTCATGGCACCCAGAGTGAATGACATCATCAAGCAGCAAGCACAATCAGGGTCTTGATATCGGGTAGAAACCTGTTGAAACCAAAGGAAGGATCCACCTCAATGTGGACTCTTGATGCATCACCCCCGACCCCACCCCACCCAAAAGATCCTAAAAGTATTAATTACCATTAATTACCTAGCACTTCCCACCAACGGGTGCCCTGTCTGGAGACCTGTAGGGTAGTCGAACGCCAGGACATCCAGACAGGATGGCCCTGGTATAGTAATAGTATAAGAAGGCGGATGGTGGTGGTTTTACTAACTTGATCTACAGTAACTTGAGGGAGATCCCTGGAAGTCAAGTCGACCATGGCAGGCCACGACTTCTAGGGAACTCTTAAGAGTCCACACCGAGGACGCCGGAGTCCCGCGGCTCCGCCAGCGGTCGAGCTCGGCGCGTGCCTCTCGTATGCGCGGCGCGTGCAGCGATCGAGCTTCACCTTCCTCCCACCATCCTTTCCTGACCAAAGCGAGCCACGCGAGGGGAGGTCTAGTTTGAGCTCCTAGGTCGCGCGAGGAGGTAGCGATAAAGAAGCCTCACCATGGGAGGAACAAAGACATTAGGTAGCAATTATTGCTACTGGCCTTATAGGAAGCAGCACAATGTGCATTAGCGTGCATTAGTGCCTATTAGCGTGCTCATGGACCCCTTCCTGACGCGACCACTCTTTTTGGCTGGAAAAGCTGGTTGTACCTGTCTGTGGGCCGGTGGGGAAAATGGCCACTAGATGTCATCTGCATCTCCCAACAGTTCGAGAGCTTTTTGACGCTTTGCGTCAAGCTCACTGCCTTCAGGCTGCTCAGCAGCTGGCTCCGGATCAACTTTGGTGAGAAAGCGGCCTTCATACTTTCGCTTTTCACCTTTCTTCTCGCCCTCTTCCAAGAGCACTTTGAAGTTGTCATTGGCGAGCACATTGACAACCGTGGCCAACTTGTCATTGTAGAAATCCTTTTGCTTCGTGGCCTTTGTGCGGACCTCTCCAGGAGATTGGGAAAAATCTTTCGAAAGAGAACGTGGTCTTTAGGCAATAACTGGACTCAACAAGTTTGGAAACGAAACCTCTGCGTGTTTCGGTTGTTCCCAGAAAGGGCCTTATCCCCAATCACTATGGCCACCGTCGGAGAAGGAGAGTGAACTCCTGTCGGCAGCTTGGTCGGAGCTGCAGGGGCTGTCTTCTTATCCTCTTTCTTTGCCAAGGCGTCTTTTGCACTGGGCGGCGTGGAGTTGTCAGACGCCGGCTTGTACTTCGACAAGAACTGCAAGGAAGGGATCTCTCGGTCCAAGTCCTGCGCCCAACCGATTCAACGTGGCCCTATAACATCACCCGTGATTAGGACAGCGTGACTGATGCCAACAGAGAACCTTTAAACTTGTCCAGCTATTTCGAAACAAAAACTTCCCTAGAGCCACCTTCGGTGGGATAGAGGCGGCCAACTTCTGCAGAGAATCCGAATGCTCTTCATTGAAATCATCATAAGAGATCTCGGTGTAACCTGTGATGTCCACGCCTAGTTTCAATGAACTCAAATCGACAAAGATACGCTTGGCAAGGGCCGAAAGAAGGGGCTCACTGTAACTTGCAGCACCTCTTTAGTAATCCCAATCATCCGCATGCGGAGAAGTGCTCGAGCACATGCCGCAAAGTGCCAGAACCGCGTGCAAGAAAAGCACCAAATGCGAAAGTAGCCGAAATGCTTCTTGTAAACAGGAATGCTCCTCCCCCACATTCCTCGAAACATGCGCCCACACACCAAGACCTCGATTGAAAAGATGCAGCAACTCATCCGGAAGTGTGTCCCGTCCATACAGTCGTTGTAGATCCAAAGATTTCTGCCGTAGATTCGGCTCATGCAAGTTGGAATCGTTTGGGTCGCCCACCAGCACACGAAAGTTGCTCAACAAGAAAGAGCGCAAAGACGAGTTCAGTTCTTCCACATATTGTGGGACTATATACTTGTACCACCGGACAAGTGCAGCACATAGATCGGAATTGTCCACTGGGGCAGAAATTATCTCGCCAACTAATGCAACTAAGACCACCAGGTTAGCCACGTGCGATGCACACCGGACACACCACAGTCGCAAATCAACTCGTGCGCCGTGGTGGGATGCATTTTGCGCAAAGAAGGAGAACATCTTCTTGGCTGAGGCCAAATTTGTATTTATCCCGTCCCCAGTCAAAATGTAAATCAATCTCAGAGTTTGCGGAGGCCTTGTCGCAGGCTGGTCAAGCAGTGACACTATCACGTTCTTGGCAGTGTTTACTATAGCCTGCCCTATAGTATCAGAGTCTTTTTTCAGCAAAGGTTGTAATTCTGTGAAATATTCTATGGTCTTTCCACTGGGAAACTTCACACGCACAACCTCGTTCTGGACCTTGGAGTACCTCGCTCTCAGAGTCCGACCCACCAGCTCCGAGTCAAAAGAGCGAAGCTTCAGGGAGGCTTCATCATGCAGATGAGAAACAATGATGGCCGGCGCTTTTCCTGATTGACTCTGCCAAATTGTTGAAGCCTCAAAGGTCAACTCTGCAACATTACCTCTTTTGATTATCTCTGTGAAGGCATCCCTCACTTGGGTGATGTACGTTCTGGACAGAACCTTAGCTTCCTCAACCCCAAAGTCTTTGCACAACTCACTGAGGGACTGTGGGGGGATATTGGGTGGAGCCAGTCCAGCCCTAATACACCATACATGCTGCACTCGCCCAGCTAGTTTTTCACCTTTGATCAAATCTACTTCAGCTTGCAGCTTCTTGCACTTGTGCCGCAGCTTTGCGCAACGAGACTGAAATTGTCGCACAGTCAGCGAACTTCTCAACTTACGACGCTTGAAGGCATCCAAGTTCAAATCATGCCGCAAAGCTTCAATCAGCTCCCGTGATTTCTGTATTGATCGCTCAACGTGTGCCAAAGGATGCGATGTAGCATTCTGAACAAAAGCTTGCAGCAAGTTCTGAAGCTGCCACGCTTGTAAACGCACATTGTCCGACATGGGCGGTCATAAAAGGAAATCTGAAGATACAAAATGAAAGGCTTCTCAAACATTGAACAGACAACATTCAAAGGCTACATTGTTTTGTCATGTGCCGAAGGGCCAGCAGTTAGCTAGTCCAGTGATCACTTGAGTCACTCTACTTAGGTCACCCTCTCCTTCTGGACGCCAACTAAAACTCAGACACAGCATTGAACCTTAAAAGGCTGCCTATCACATTTGAGCCTGAAAAGGCTGCCATCACATTTGAGACTACACTAACCGGGTTGTACCCAGGTGCAAGACACAATCTTTGATTCCTTGAAGGCCTGTGTGATTTGCAACCTAAAAGACATGTGTTTATCCACTTCAGCTTTGGCCTAGCCAGTGACAAAGACATAAAGAACATACAAGAGAACAAAGACACTCCTTTCGAGTAAGCTATTTGACAAGCATGAAGGGCTTGTAAAACGGGACATGGTGGACCAGGGTCCAGGTCTTGACCCATCCCCACATCGGCGTGAAATGTTCTAAGGGTCTAAGGGTCAATGATGGTCAATGTAGGTCCAGATTCCACACATGGATGGCCCAGGGAATGTTCGGAAACGATGGTCCTGTGGTGATATCACGTTCCATTTTGGGTTCCTTCCAAAAACGCACACATACGATCTTTTTGCAAGTGGCTCCCACCAGTGGTCTCTGTCTTCTCCTGATCGCCTCAAGCCCCTGATTGCCTCAAGCCCCTCCCATGTGGATGGGTCAAAACCTCTTCGGCGAGAAAACCTAAGAGCCCTAACATCAGGTATAAGCTGTATAGCTTGACCTCCCAGGTAGGTCAACCTATTCCTCCGGTCTTGACCAACAGCCATTTGAGCTGAGCCAACCATGCCCTGTCGGGAGAGATCAATCCAGGTCTCGTGTTCACCCGCTCTTCATGTTGCAGTGGCAGCTCCACCGGCCCATCGACAAACCTTGGCTCCCACCGCAAACAGCCCGCAGCTGCGGGCCGTGCATGGCCATGCTCGTCCGAGTCCTCCCAAGATGGTCCAACCCCATTCCTGGACCCCCAGTCGGGGTGGTGAATGGACACCCCGAATGACCTCAAAGGGGGCTATTAAGGACACCCGCGTTCTTTCCGTGGTGCTGGTTCTGGCCCATTCTCCTCGCACTTGTCCCAAGCTGTTGAAGCAGGCCCCAAAAAGTGACCCTCACTGCCAGGTCTTCCGACAAGGCTTGGGACGGGCCCATGCACGGGTGTAGCTACACGAATCACATGAAGACAGGTTTTGTTCCAAAGCCGGTGTGTTTGGAGTGAGGGGGCGCGGAGCCGCTCTCCGCTCTCCCCGCGATGCCGGCCGTGTCGCACAAAGTCCGCACAACTCGCGCTCTTCGCGATGAGTCCTCGATGTTGGACCGATGAGGCTGAGGCCCCGCAGGGACTCGTCGGGCAAAAAGGGACATCCCAAGGGTTACCTACCGCTTCCAATGGGTGTCCAATGGTGACCTCTAAGCAGTGAAGGGTTAACCCCTTCGAAGCAGCTGGTAGTTGGGTGTTTTTTCTCCTGGACACCCTTCATTTCAACACATCTCACTGACCTCCTTAGAGCTATCAATAAGACACACCGATTGGCCGGGGGACGGGAGCTACAGCTCGAACATGCATGGAGGTATATGGATGTTGGGTGGGGGCCATTAATAGACACTCCGAATTTCACCACTTTTGGGGGGAGGACTATATATGAATGGATAGGTTTTAGGGTTTAGGTCGTTGAGCGCTTGCTTCCGCTGTCATTCTTCTTTTCGTGGTGGGGGGAACCCACGTGACGTGGAAGGAAAGGGTCGCTGGATTTTGGAGGGTCCCGGAGGGTACCTGACTGATCCGATGTTGCTTTGGAATCCAGCTGGTTGGCGAGTTGGCGGGGAGCGACTGGGGGGGGGGCGGTATGCTGGGGATTTGGAGGAAGCCGGCGTGAAGGTCGTGAAGGCTCCAAAACAGTGGAACTCAGGAAATCCAAATCCAAATGGAGTGATATATGGCTGTGGATCAATATCCGGATACTCCCAGAATCATGTAGACTCTTGATTCATAAACCCCCTCAGGACTTCCAATTCGAATGGGAAGGGTTGATGAATCAAGGGTGTATACATGACCTTGCTTGACCTATCTGGAAGATCTGGAAGGTCAAGTTACGTAGCTACATAGTACATGGACCAGTTTTTGGACCCATCCTGTCCCCACCGCACCTCTGCCATGTCGAACTCGCCCAGGCGATGGCTGACAAACGCCAATCCAGGTGTTGGAGGGATGATGAGGTCCAAAGAGCTCAAGTGACCTGAACTAGGACCCGGAGTTATGTGGGGTACCTTAACATAGGAGAGTCGCTTCTTCCAACCTCTGGATCATCCTCCCAACCTTTCGATGCCTGCGCACGCCGTCCCCGGCGAGTCGTGGGGCGTACCGCTCCGGGCGGCGCTCGATCTTCCCCTGGAAGGTCGCCGAGGTCTGACAGCGCCCGTGGAGGCACAGCAGCCGCAGCTTCGGCCGCGAGGCCATTGGGATGCCGAAGTGGGTGGGAGGGGGGAAGGTCGGACGGTGATGATGGGGTGAAGAGGTTCCAAAGCGGAAGAAGGGACGGGTGACTTGTTCTGACCGCCAGGGCTGGAAACTGGACGGTCGACCCCTGGTCGACCCAATGAAGGTCAGGTTACTTAGTAGAACACCTGTGACAAGAGTTCCCAGACAAAGCACCTGTGGATCTGCCAGCTGTTATCCTTGACAGAAGCTAAGCTTTGCTGCTTAGAGGTTTATGGCCACTCAGTGGCCACTCACTCACTAGTGGTCCCAGTAGAAATGGACTGATTATCTGGAGGGTTGAAGTCATCTGAAGCGTTGGAGGTGGCGGGTTAAGTCAAATTTCCTGTCAAAATACCTTTGCACATGAGCTTCCAGGATGCATTGCTGGATGTTCTCCACATTGACATACATTGACTGTGGAAAAATCTATCCTGGGAATTGCCCTGTAGGTTCTTTCAAGGAACACCATCAATATCCCTCAATGTGCTAGTCTTGCCCCCTCAAAAGCCGACCCAAGCTGATCGCTTGATTCAATCACACGGGTAGAGCGAAGTGAGCCAAAGGGCCGCGAAGTGGCCGCCCCCGGCGGCCTCGCCAAATCACATGATCCAAAGAAAACGGAAAACGGGCCATGTTGAGCCATGAATGAAAGATCTTCCAGGATCATCAGCCGTCTTTGTTGGGCCCTCAGCCTCATCTAGGATATTGGTTGCAGTACTCAGGAATACTGAGGCCATGCCATGTCTGTCATGTCCTTCGCGGAAAAAAACACGTCCCCCAAACAAACAGTTCACACTTCCAGGGCGATTTGGAAGATTGGTGCACCAATGTGAACCAGTATCTGCCAGGTGGGGAATGATGGAGGTATGTTTGTGTCGTGGAGTCTTAGCAACCTAGATCCCCTATCCAGCTCACTTCGGCCATCTGTTTCTCCGTGCGACCTCGGGCGTGAGTCCCAGCTGCTGGTCATAGACCTTGGCAGCTTCGAACTTCTCTTCCATGGAGGAGAGATACTCCTTGGCACATCCGGCGTGACAGGGCCAGTGGACGGGTCAAGTTTCGGCAGGAGCTGACCCGACAGGGAGTTCGACAGGGAGTTCGTCCGAGTGATTGTTTCCAAACAGGAAGACTCAGTGGCTATAGAACCCGACAAAAATGGTTCACTCATGTTCACTTGTTGCAACCAGGGCCTTCCAGCTACATCTTGAATCATCGACCACAAGTCATGAGACGATTTTCCCTGAAAGGCATGCCTTCCTCTCATGACTTTGGCCACGGACCCGGGCGCCGCTTTAGGCGGGCGGAGTTTGGCGCTCCAAAACCAGCAATTGTTTAGATCCCCAAAAGCTTCCACAGAGGGTCAAGTACCTTCTGAGGTCTTTTTCATCCCAAAAAAGGGGATGAATACCAAACTAATTAGGGTGTGTTTCATGGGTTGTCACTTCCCTTGGATTCTGAAAACTTCCCGCGGAAGAAGCTCTCCCACCCTCTTCCCGCGGCGTCACGCCTTGAGCGCGGTCAGGAGCTTCTGTCGCTGGAGCTCCGACTGCTGAAGCTCCTTCTTGGCTTCCCGGAGCTGTTGCCCCAAGGAGGCCTCCAGGGGGTAAAGGATGGTGAAGGGACAGAGGGGCACAAAGGACTGGGTGGACTGGGGGACGTTGTAGGTCGGGTCGACGACCTGGGTGAAGACTTCTGGAAGGAAGTGATCAGACCTGGTTGAACCGACAGTGATACTGATACTGGATCGATCTCAGATGCTGCTGTCTGCGTTGGGGCCCCTGAAGCCGATTTAGATGATCCAGTGTATGGTATATATGGTATATATACCTAGAACCAGGTCGTGACCTCTATTTTGGACCACCAACCACCCAAAAGATTGCCTTTTCCTATCAAAATAGAGGTCATGTCTGGGTTCTAGGCATATATATATATATACAAAGGTGTGTTCTCCAAACAGGGACCGTTTCGATGGGCGCGGGCGCAAAGCGCTTCCACCCGAGTTTTTTCGTTTTTGTTCCGACCCGTGAACGATGTGCTTTCGCATGCTTTCGCCAGCTGAGCGAGTTCACGAGCTGAGCCCAGGACATGCACGGCATCCTTCTTGGCCAGTTGAGCTGAGACCTCCTCAACTTGCAATCGCAACGACCTGAGCTGAAGAGTCAGTCCCACCCAGCGACGCGCAGGGCGGGACTCGCGGAGTCCAGCCAGGACTCGTTCTTGGTTTGGGCTGGTTAGTGGTGGATGATGACATATATTTGATGACTCCCAGGTGGAGTAAAACGAGTCAACACAGAAGTTTAGGGGATAGAGGCTGGTGGTGATTGATTCATCCTCACCCCTCTGGCTGAATTCGGAAAGCCCTCCTTCAGGGTGCTGCGGCCTCACTTCCACTTCATCGACTCATTGATCAACGCCAGCGCACGTCCAACAAAACGAAGCAGTATAGTCAACCTGGTCAACCTGGAATTGATAGAATATGGGACAATCCCTGAAACAGGAAACTGGTTGTGTCTTTGTGAGTCGTCCCACGGCCCCGAGACGTCTCCCGATCGACCTGCATCGGAGACGGAGGTCTCTCCGCCCGCGACCGAGAGACCGGAGCTCGGATTCTCGATCCTGAAACTGTTGCCTTGCACTTGCTTCTTGCCCTGGGCGATGCCATCAAAGACTTACCGGCGCATGAGTTCTGGAACTGAGGAGAGGTTCGAAGCTCCATTGGCCAAAGAGGTCCTCCCAAGACACATTGGGATCGGGTGGAGAGTGTTGTCCAGACCAGAATTAGACCCATCTGTTTGGGCTCATGAACGGCCTAGACCGGTCACCGGGTTGAACAGGAACTGTCAGACGTTTGGTCGGGCTCACGATGGCCTTGAGGGTGGCACCTTCATCCTCTGAATCAGCCATGGCACTCTTGGCGGAGACGAGCTGTGCCTTCTGCTCCACTTCAAACCTCCGGAGCGACCGGAGCACCGCTTCAAACACCAAAACCGGGGTCAACTGCCCCAGGTCGCAACACTTGAAACCAACGGCAGCTCGCCAGCTGGCTCTGAGAACTGGATTGGCTGAGTGAATTGGGTTCTGTCTCTGTTGCCGCCCACCACATGAGTGCCAAGAGATGCTACGAGTGAACAAAATGTTCGAGTATGGCTAGATGGGTGGAACCAAAGACATTTAGCATCCAGAAGTGTGGGTGCGCACGAGGCCGCACTTGCACCATGCTGGTGCCTATTCTAGGCATGCGATTCAATTCGAGACCCTCCTCAAATCGGAGAGCCAAGAGCCAGAACCATCCTGAAGGTTCAGAGGCTAAAAGCAGGTGGAATAATTTCTTAGATTCTCTTAGGGATTAGGGGCTTGGTATGTCCTCTGACCTAGACAAGCTTCGGATGCCAGTCACTCTCGCACGGTCCGCACCTGTTTTCCCTAGGGTTGATTCCACTAATTGATTCCCTATCCACCATTTCCAACTAGATGTATGCGGCATGACTGCGGCATGCTCAAACGCCAGTGACACGATGACATGCACACCCAAAGACATACATCGGTCTTGCGACCACCCATCCACGTCCTTGTTGACCCATCGTGGCCAAATCGTGGTCCATTGGGAGGTCAGAAGCTCAGATTTGCTCAAGGAACCAGGAAAAATCAAACATATTCCCAACCAGTTCAGGAAAATAAAGAAAGCATCTTATAATAAGATAAGCAAACCATGGAAGGGATCGCCATCGCCATCAGTCCGAGGATCTGTGAGATTTGCATCTCCCTCTCCTTGACCTTCCACAGGCTCGCCCGGGCAGAGGCCAGCTGCTCGCTCAGCGCGCTGGTCTGCTCCCGCAGCCGTCCGACCTCCTCAAGTGGGGCGAACCGTTGCAGAGCGGCGACGAAGGTTCGGGTCCGTTCCAAGAAAGCATCGACTCCTCAAATTGAGCTGACAGATTCCCAAACAAAGAGCTAGCCAGCTCAAATCCAGAAGTTAGGAGGATTTCAGAAAATACAATTAATACATGGAGTATCATAGAGTAATGAACATTGTAGTGTCCACCAGAACCCATCCAACGGATCACCATGTGAGAACATTCACAGTCAGGTACTGGCACAAAAACCTCATGTTATACACCAAGGAAGACTAGCTTCCTCGACAAAACTATACAAAGCTATACAAAACTAGTGGTTTTGGGGTTCCATGTGGTTGTGCCAGGGAATATCGATTCAGCTATATTTCTATAGTGTCCAACCGCCCTCCAGGCCGTTCTTTGAAGAACTCGCCTGCTCTTCGCTGAGCAGCGCTTGCGCCAGCTCTTGCTGCTCCTCCATGCCCAAACCACCAGCTCGCTCTGGTGCTGAGCTCCGCCCCTCGCGGGCACCGCCTCCGTGAACTCACGACGCGGGCACCGCGTTGGGATGGATCTCATGTAGACTCCAAGGCTCCATTCAGAACACCCAAGGCTTCGGTCCTATGAAGAGGTGGAAACACTCCAATTTCGCGGGATGCATCAAGAATTTTGGGGGATTCATCAAGAATCTACCATGCTCCAAGTGTCACCCCCTTGGTGCTTTAAGTCCCCGAAAGCGCCGGGGAAAACGGGACGCCGCCGAGGTGCTGCGCCCGCTGCGTGCGCTGCGCGCGGTACGCTGCAGCTCCTCTACCTGGCAGTCGGGTCCGACTTGGTGTTGTAGTCTAAGATTGTACCCAGACGCTCATGGGCCCTCATATGGAGGGGTCGGACCCTCATATGGAGGGGTCAGGGGTCTCAAATCCCTAGGTTTTGAGAGACCAAGGGCTGTTTGGAGCGTCTGGGTAAGACTCAAAAACCATGGTTCTGTGGGGGGATGTGGGGGGTTCGTGTTGTCAAAAAGATTTGCTTCATTCAACCATGATTCTACAAACTCTATGGAGGCACTGGATTTGTTTTTAAGGGTCCAGGCACTGAAGGGTCTATGGCGGCGCACTTTGAACATCGATCGATTGGAGCTCCATGCTTCGACACCTGTTTAAAAGAACCATCTGTTGGCTTTCATTCAGTGGACCAAAAGGTATGGGACGTGACTAGGATTCTTGTTGCAAAGGAACCCATCGAAAAGCAAAAAGGCAAATTGGCAGCTCAAGACCTCAGCCGACTCGGCTTGGGAAATGGCTGCTTGATCTTCCCAGATGCTCCGTGAGTTCACAGCCTGACTTCTGGTCCCTCAAAACCTACAAATTGGTTTCGAAAGTCCAGACCCCTCCATATGAGGGTTAGAGAGGGTTCGACCCCTGCTATGGAGAGTCCAAGGATTCCCCTGCTTGTTTGCGGGTGCACTCTCGAACGTTCCCTTCAGTCGTTGCCTGGAACGGATGGAGGATACAGACGGCTCACGGCTCATGTGCCGAGGCAATCGTGGTTCATAGGGACTCTCGGACGGGGGTGTCTTCTCTCGTGGTTCAAAGGCGTCCATTGAGTCTGGTTTCTTAGTCATTCTTAGTCTTCATCCTGGACCCTCCAAAAGGGGTATCCACTCAAAGAACCCGAAAGCTTCCATGGAGCGATGGGGCAACTCGGGCAACTCAGTGGACCCCCTTTCGAGGTGGATCCTCTAGCGTGCGAAAAAAGGAACGGCCCACGGATGTCCTCTGCTCGGCGGCTTCGCCCGCCCTCGCCCACTTCGCCTCCTGCGCTAAGCGTTTGCATTCCACGTCGCAGCCCCAAACCGCCGCCAAGCCGTTCATTACCTCGGTGTGGAACATGGGTTTTTCTGCACCCTCGCACCCTGGTTGACCGAGAATGAACCGATTCCTCCAAAAGGGATGCCAAGTTCAACCTACCATGGTTTGGTTGGGAAGGTGACTCACAGCATGCCGCTGGTGACTCTGAAACCATGACCAAAATAGGAGCTGCCAGCTGCGGCAAAGCCGCATAAGCAAACATCATGCGACACGAAGCTGCTTGAATCAATGGGCAATTGTTTACAGAATATATCAGAATATATACATTTGACGTGTGTAATTACAGTAGCATTGCAATCAACAAAGGGTCATTATATACAGTATATAGTAGTTTTACACAAATAAATAAGCAATAAGTATACATCAATAAGGCTCAACACCTCCAGAAAAACAAAAGTTGGCACCCAAACAGTTGCGGTCTTCTCTTCGTCCAAGTGTCCGCCTCCGCCATGCGTGTCAAAGGTGGCGACAGGCGACTGGGCAGCTCTGGAGGAAGCGGCCAGGGCTGCTGCTGTGCGATCGCCAAGACCAGCTCCTGTGGCGCAGAGCAAAGAGGTAGTGGAAAGAATCGCCGCTTTGGCACAAATAACTCAAAAAACTAAAAAAATGCCAATCTCAACACATGAATTTATATTGTATAGATCGATAAATACATATATCTCCCTCAACCTAAATTAACCACAAAGGGGTGTGCTTGTGCTTCGTTTGGATGGGAGACGGCTGTGCCACAATGCATACCTCACAACACAAAAAGTTGCATCTACACAGCTTGCAGGATGCCTGCTGCCAGATATGACCACTTACCAAAGTCTTTACGACACGTGATCTGCTTCGGTGCAATGGCGCATCCAAGATGAGAAGAGAAACTCAAACATAATTTACTCTATATGCACCCATATAGTAATATAATATATGTCGTGCATTTCTGGATCCCAATCCCAGCTTGATCCAGCTTGGCTACTTTTAGCCAGGCCAAGCCCAAGTTCACTCTCCACTGATGTTCGATGCCGCTCACGGCGCCAGTCTCCTCTGACCATTGCTCCCAGCTCAGGCAGAAGCTTTCCTGACAACGATCTCAAATCTCAGGCCACTTACTGAGGCCATCTTCTAGACCTTGCCTAACTATCTATCTATATATCTATATGTTTTCTGTGCATATACGTATACGTATGTGTGTGTATGTATATCATGTATGTATGTAATGTAATGTCATGTCATGTAATGTAATGTAATGCATGTATGTATGAATGTATGTATGTATGAATGTATCTATCTATCTATCCATCCATTAATCCATCTACCTACCTATCTATCCATACTTCCATCCATCCATCCATCCATACATACATCTACCTATTGAGAGAGAATGGCCATCATCGCTTGGGCCGAACGCACTCGCCGCTCGCCTCCACATCCGCGGCCTCCGCTTCGGCCACGCGCCGCCCCTGCGACGCCGTGCGTGGCGGTCCCTCCGCACGGCGTGCGCGGTCGGCGCGCATGGCGCGGAGTGCCCGGTGGTCAAGGACTTCTCCGAAAGGATTGAAAAAAAGAAGGGAACCTGCACAGGGACCTATGGCAATCATGTGGAGTCATGATGCTTTCACTGGGCAACCTGCGGCAATGGAATCATCGATAGATCATCTAGAATCACTGACTCGGGGCATGTTTTCATGTATCATGTAGTTTCGAAGTTCAGTTCTCCTGCTTTGACCGCTTTGAGGTCGAGTCTAATGTAGTCTAGGCTCAGTGGGGGGACAGGCCCCTTTCATATCTACAAGGACTTCGGACATGGGTCATGATTGGCTGGTGTGTTTTCGTGTCCCTTCTTCTGATGTCTGATCCAAAATCCAAGTTGTATTTCGGCCAAGTCGAGATCAAGGCGACCCCCCTTTCCCCAAGACGTCAACGAACAACAAACCCGAGTTGGTCCGAAAGTCCTGCCATGATGTCCCATGACATTGCCCGAGTTCTCCCGAAGCATTTTGCCTGGAAGATAGGTGGCTATAGGACAACCAATGCCAACAAAAATGCCTTGAACCAGGAGTCACAAGATGGGGTGGTTTTTGGTCAGTGAGTGGATGTGACAGGGGCATCCCATCAAACCCCCCGACTTCGGATAGGCACCCCGGTTGCCACGTGACTCCTGGAAGGATGTTACAGGTGATCCACCCGACTCCTTGGACTTCAGGCTATCACATCTGTTCGAGTCAGGGCCGACCTCGGATCACTCACGTCCCGTTGGACCTAGGTCACCGGTCACCGAAAAGGGACGTTCACCGGAGAAAAGGGACCACACTAATATATACCCTGGGAGTCAAAGACCATGAAAAGGAATGGTCTTTATGGTATCGGAAAGGGAAGGTCGTTTACTTCACTGAGGGAAAGTAGTCTTTGGACTTCTAGGGTATACCTTTCGGTTTCGTCTAGTTTCGTACAGCTTTGTGGCACATACACGCATCCGCCCCCCCCAAAAAATACACCAAGAACACCCCGCAGAGCCACGGACCGACACCCATGGACTGCAACACGACCGGACCCAAGGCAAACCCAGTAAGAGCTGTTTCGGGGGAATGGCCTCGTGAAACGGAGACCACCCGAAAGCGCCATGTGCCAGGAGAGTTCAAGCCATGTGCCAGGTCGAATCGCTCAAGGAACAAATGCGCTGAAAAATCAAGGAACAGCACGAAGGACGGCTTTTTTATGGCTCGCGCCTGGCAGGCCTGTCCACAAGAGCAATTTCGCTTGAAATCACCCATCACAATCTCATTGGGCTCTGATATATCTCGGCAGTAAAGAGCAGCCCTGCCTGGAGGCAAGCTAAACCTGTTTAAATTGCGACCATCCCATCATCAAAACCCAAAGAGGAAAAGCTACCGCCGGCCATAAGTGAAACAGGGGTTGCGTTAGATGTTATTCTTGATCCCGCTGGAACGATTCCAGCTCTATTTTTTCCACCCATGGCGTTACTGATTGAACTCATGCCTTGTGCATCCCCTAAAGTGAAACGTCTGGACTAAATCGTCCCGCACGTTCACCGCTCAGTTGCTAATCCCACTGCCATCTCAGCATCATGCTGAGTATGGGGATGGTCCGATGCCTTCTGCAATCTCCTCTTGTGCAACCTCGGCTGAAACATGCAACAGGCACAAAACACACGCCACGAAGTAGTGCAAAACACTGTGTTACAACACTAAGGTCCTATTCACTGAGTAGTGCAACTCTGAGTTGCTTCACAATCAATGTCCTATTTCTGGATAGTGATGGTCAAACTTGTTATTTGCAAAAACGAGGCATCTAGCAGCATCCAGCACCAATTCAGAACGGTCAAACTTCCTCCTTCATGGTTTTGACTTGCTTCGCTGGTATGGGAAATTCCTCACGTGTTCGGCTGGGAAAGACCTGAGGCGCCCCGCTTCGAGCGTTCATGTTTGTCCTTGACCTCCTGTGAGGAGAAGAAGCGATTGCCTGGCAGAGTCTACGAATGTCCATGTGAGTCGACGAATCCCAAGCCCCCACGTGGCGTTCAATCGGCAGGATCGCGCCGTCTTCCTGCGGTTTGAGTCGTAGCTCATTGTCTTCCCCTATGAGAGCAAGATCTCCCACCTACAGTATATGATGGAACATGGAGGTCAAAAAAAGCCAAGAAGTGGATCGCCAAAAGAACTTGCTGGTGAGATCTACATATTCTACCTCAAATATCCGTCAAAGGCGGTCATGGTTTGTTGGTCCACCACACCTAGAAACATTAACAATTTGCTTGAATTGCTCAACATGTAAGGACATTCAGCTGGAGAGGCAGTCCTAAACCTGATATATATATATATATACCATTGTACATGTTTATTTACAAGGCCAGTCACAGTGTTGATGCAAGAGACCTCCTGTTGGTCACCAAAGAAACACACACCATCACCTCTGCATTCTCGCAGAACAGTGTAATCAAGCTCGCCAAGCAAACAAACACTTGATGAGTTATAGAAAGTGTTGTATCTAACGATCGGTGAGAACAAATCATCTCTGTATATATCTCTATCACTAGCATCACACTCCCAGACAGAGTGCCAGCTCCACATCTCCACCCAGTCTTCCCCACCGCCCGTCTTTCTTCGCCCGTCTTCTCGGCTCCCTGGCATGCGATGCAGTAGAACTGCCCCATGCCAGGCCTGATCCGCTCCGGGCAATCCGGGCGACCCTTCGTTGAGCCCCGTGACCGGCGGTGATGCACCGTGGGCAAGCGTGGTAAACGAGACGTGAAAACGAGACGTGACCGTTTGGGTTTCTACGAAAAGAAGTTCTTGAAAGAGCTAGTGGCCCAGGGATGTGCATCGACTTGCTGACAGCTGGATGAAGTCTTCTCTAATCGTTCCATGTTCCTGTCCCTTTCTACTGTAGGTCTCCTCGGGCGTTGTGAAGCTGCAATCATTGGGCACAAACCCAGTGAGACAACAAGGGCTAAGAATCACTCTAGAGATCTCGAGAGAGAGAGAGAGAGCGGTACCATCAGCACGACGTTATCCACTCCAATTCCAAATCGAGCACGGTGACCGGTTTTTTATGTACAACATTTCATATGGAAAATGAAAAAACTTATCAATTGGTTCTTCTTTCCTTCCTTCCTATTTATAGATGTTTGCTTCATGTGTTCTTTCTGAATCGGCTTCTTTCTTTTCTATTCTGTTCTTTCTCTGCTGAACCGCTTCGCACATTCACCCCAAGAGGGAGTGAACATGTGGACCCCCATCATCTAAAACATCTGGATTCTTGCGCCATCTGCTCCCCGAAGCGATTTGAAGATCTGCCAGGGATACTGTTCGATTCTTTTTGATCTCTTCACTTGGGAAGATCTTGGAAATGAACCAGCCCACACATAGCGCCTTCTCAATCCCAGTGCAGCTCTCCCTCCTTCTGCCCAAGTGGCAAGTCTTCGTCTCGCGGCAGTGCGCCCGGCTGGAAGTTCTCCGGCGCCTGGCTGGTCCGAGCGACTCGGCGCCTCGGCGCTCACGTACCCCGACGTGTGCCCGAGGCGCCGATCGATGGAAGGTTCCATGGACCCAAAGGCTCATTTGGACCCTCAGTTCGCTAGGGTTTTGACATGACCACGTTCGCAGGGTTTTGGACCTCCAACATGTAGCAGTTGCTTCGGGTCCAGGGTCGCCTCTGGAATCGAAAAGGAGGCATCCGACTCGTGGGACCCTCCGAATCGGATCGCCGGTCGTGGTCGTGGTGGTCGTGTGGTCGCCGATTGCTGGTTCGTGTAAATAGATGCTCCATGGGACTGGAATAGTTACTTACATTGGGCATTGGGGTCATAAATGGGGTAAATACCTGGACCCTCCTGTTCGGGGTGTCCAATGGACTACCCCACACTACCTATAGGCTTCCATTGGGCACCCCTTGGAGGGTCCTGGTATATTAATATGTAACTAAAAGACTATTCTATTCCGTACAGTGTCTGGGCATGGTCGAATGCATGACAAGATCCATCAATCCCAGCCGAGGAGATCCGCGGGTCAGAATTCCGAGGATTTCCTCAGAAAGCTCAATGTTTATAGAGAGAAAGCAAAGCCCTCCATGCACTTGAAGAGTGGCGAACATGACTTCATCAACAATCGGAAAGAATAAACAACCAAGGCCCAAGGCCCCTCACATTTTCACAGCTGTTCATTGAGAAGTACCTGGTCATGTTCTCAAATGATCTACACTTGCGTTTGTCGTGTTCAGGATAAGATGTTTGGCCAAACATGTGGTGAGAAAAGTTGAAAGCAAATCTTGTCCGTGCCTTCAAATCTTCATGTACCTGGTCAATGTCCTTGTTCCGCCTCTTCTTCGCAATCACGGAGGCCCTTGCGGCAATCGCTGGGGTTTTGAGCAAACACCGAGAAAATGATAGAGGCACATAATATAGAGATGGGGGACAATAGAATTTCATTGGTCTCCTGAAACTTCTTACTGCTTTGATCCGCTTTGCCGCGTAGACCACGTTTTAAAGCCATTCCTCTGTGAGGTACCCCATTCCCCGCTCAAAAAACTACCTGGAGGTGTTCCCCCACTCTTTTCCAAGGCCAATCTCCAAGTGGAGCCATTCAAAGCACCATCCGAGTTGTGGCGCGACGGTTCACGGCCCAGGTAAAGCGAAAGAACCCAGATTGATTGACTCAGATTGACCATTGTTGACCCCTGACTTCCAGGTCGGGGGAGCGTCTCCCCCTGGACCTCCTTTTTGCCCCACATCCTCAGAAGGGTCCGCCTACGGTCGCGTCGTTCCTCGGATCGCTCCCCGCCAAAAATCCCGTCGCCGAGCTCCGGGGGCGAACGAACGCGGCAGCGACCAAACGTTTTGGGCGAGTTGAGCGGGTCCAGCGGGCGAGTTTTGATCGGAGATGATCGACTTGAGGCCAGGGGGAGAGGTCGAAAGCTAGCCGAATCGCACCGGATGTACTAGTTACATAGTCGGCAAAGCATGTAGGGATTACATGTTTTGGGAGGAAGGTTGCTATGTACATACTTTGCGCTAAAGAATGTAAATGTGACATCGCTGACTGGGAAGGGTACATTGGAACAACCCGGGTGCACTCGTTGGCAGGCACGAAGATGCGTGATCGGCAAATCTGGGGGGTAAATTTACCCTCCGCTTTTGTATGCCTTGAGTCGGAAAGATGGGTAAGCATTTCTGACATCATACGGACTGTACATACACTAGGGCGTCCGTAGTGTAGGAGAAGCACGGGTAAAAGGTATATGGAATAGAGTGTCTTGAGGACATAGCCGGTGTATGGTTATTGCAAATCTGGGGGGTAAATTTACCCCCCGCTTATGTATGCCTTGTGCTGGAAAGAGGGGTAGGCATTTCTGGCATCACAAGGACTGTGCATACACTAGGGCGTCCGTAGTGTAGGATAAGCACTGGTAAAAGGTATAAGGAGTAGAGTGTCTTGAGGAAATAGCCGGCTTATGGTTATGGCAAATCTGGGGGGTAAATTTACCCCCCGCTTATGTATGCCTTGAGCCGGAACGAGGGGTAGGCATTTCTGGCATCACAAGGACTGTGCATACACTAGGGCGTCCGTAGTGTAGGATAAGCACTGGTAAAAGGTATCAAGAATAGAGTGTCTTGAGGAAATAGCCGGTGTATGGTTTTCGCAAGCCTGGGGGGTAAATTTACCACCCGCTTATGCATGCATTAGGTTAGAAATAGGGGTAAACAACTTGTAACAGTGAAGTACAAGTCCTATGCAGCAAGCAGCAGCCAGCAGCAGCAGCAGCAGCAGCAGCAGCCGCCTGCAGCCAGCAGCCAGCAGCAACCACCAACCAGCAGCCAGCCAGCAGCACCACGCAGCAGCAGCGCAGCATCAAGCCGCAGCAGCAGCAGCACCACCGGCAGCAAGCACCACCGGCAGCAAGCAGCAAGCAGCAGCAGCAAGCAGCAGTAGCAGCGTCGTCATCAGCCGCAACAAGTAGCAAAGCAGCAGCTACAAAAGCGGCAACCAGCGGCAGCAGCAAACAGCAGCAGCAAGCAGCAGAGCGGCAGCAGCAGCAGCACCCTTTACACCAAGCCACCGTTTACACCCAACCAACCACGTTCAACCAACCCCCTACACGGCGCAGCTGGGAGTTGAACCGCGGGGGGGGGGGGGTTAGCTTGATATATCAATCTTTAAGGCACGCAGCCCCTCCCACGACAACATTGCTAAAGCAAAGAAGAACTCAGCTAGCACGCTAGCTTTCGTGATCTGGGCCGAGGCAGTCTTCCCAGAATTTCCCCACCTGTCTGGGACTGGCAGATTTACCCTACATGCATCCCTTTTCAACCACCCAATGAAAAATGATGCAAAATGTAAAAAACAACTAAACAAATAATATGCCAGTCCCACTGGTTGTGTCTGGGTATGAGAGGAACATGGACGAACTACAACACATCTATGAGGATTGATCAAGTGTTCCCGGAGGCGGGCAGCCTGCAGATTGTGCATGCATGTTCCAGCGAGTTTACAGCTGCTGAATCAGAGATCCGTTGGCATGATTGGGATCAGCATGGCTCAGCTGTGGATGTTGCCGGTGGAGCATCCAAACAGTACAGAATCAGAATCCAGAACGGTGGAGTCTAGGAAAGGAAGCGCGTTGCCGCTGTGATTCACACTGTTTCGCGGCATCAAAAACGTCAGAATTCGTTGGATTCCAGAGGCTGTGACTCTCATCATCGCCGAACAAGTCGTTCTGCCACCGCAAAAACACCGACCCGGGAGCCATTTAGGGAACTCCCACCCCTCCCGCTTGAGATGGGGAAACACGAAAGGTAGAGAGGTACCAGGAATATTATTAGAGGCGCTGTAAGGACTTATGTCGGAGAGGAGGGGTTGCTACAACGCGTGGTGTCGTGGAGGCTTGTGTATGTGAGAGCCGTGGTGTGTAAGAATTGCCTGGTGCCAAACTGTGCTGCACAAGTGCGGTATGTCACGCCCACTCAGCATAAGAGTGACCTGGGTCGCGAGGAGAGGTTGCTAGAGCATGTGGTGTGGTGAGGTTTGTCAACACGGCTTTGCGTAGAGGCTGTGTTGATCCCCGGCTCACTACACACTATCCCCTTGGGTCCCTCAACCTCTGGCTAAATGAAGTGGGACCCAAGGTACGATGAACTACCAGGAGCAATTTAGCCAAACAGTTTTGGACCCAACCCCATGTGTTGCACACAGGGACCCATGGCTAAACGACCATGGACCCAACCTCTTTTTTGGCTAATAAATTTAGCAACCAACAGCTAAAAATATAGGTACCCAACCAAATTGACATGTGACAAACTGTGTCTGGTGACACCCTGGCAAGACTTGACCACAAAGGCTACCCACCATGATGCATTGACAAGACAAGCCATTTGGCCAAACAATAGCTACCAGAACATTCATAAACAAATATCCAGCAGCACCACCACAAAACCACATGCCTGTTCCAGTTGAAATTCATCTCAGCTAGGTGTGTAATTGTTTTTTGTTGTGTGACTTCTTGGGACCCACTCACTTTAGCCAAACACATTGCTACCACACACAAACCAATCACACACTGCAAAACACCCTGGCAAGACTTGACCACAAAGGCTGAAATCCTCCCACCTGGAGTTTTGGAGATGTCTAGCTCTTGAACATCTTGAAGGTCTTGGACATCACCTTTAACCTACCACATCCTTGTCTCATTTCCACACAACCCAAACAAGAAGAATACCCCTGCTGCCTACCTAAAGCAATGACAAGCATTTGAACATGACCACTTTGCCAACACGATGTGCCCAAAATACACTATGGCTAAAATCCATTGCATGGCCTGGCTAAAATAATAGGTAGCCAACACCTGAGTAGTATATACAAGGTCCTGATCTAGGGTACTTGTATCTCCTCAATATGGCTCAACTAGCGGAAGGTACCCAACCTCAGAAATGTTTTGCACAACCTCGATTCTGTAAGAATTATCCATCCCCAGATCACACATTGGCTGGCAAAAAATTTTAGCCAGCAGGGGCTCAAGCCCATGGGATCCTAGCCAGGCTAGTGGACGGAGGATCTGTGTTGCGTCAACGCTCGTTCGTTTGTGTACAGCAATATGGTGTGTGAACGCTGGTTTGCGCAAAAATTGCGGCGTATAAACACTGGCATGTCTGTGTAAGAGCTGCACGCACTGCGTCGAAGCCGTGCTGCGCAACCTCATTGTAGGCGCACTGCTGTTACTGCCAGTGAATGGACGTCACGCTATGGTAGATGGGTGATGATAGTGGCGATCGGGGGGGATCACCAAAATGATTGATTTATCAATTATTCATCACATTGGAGGGGGGGTCAATTGAATTGATATAACTATCAATATTTGGTCCCGAGCAGGCTATTCAAGCTAACCCCTTTGCTTCGCAAAGCAAACTCAAGCCTTCCCTTACCAGGCTACCTTTCGTGATATCTCCTTCCCATCCGAAAGCAAGGAGGACTCCAAAGTACAAGTCCCAAAAAGACCTTCGCCCTCCATTCGACCACGGACTTGGCGACTCGGCGGTTCCTCCCGCGACACGGGGATGGGCCTCGTCTTCTTGTTTTGGTTCTTATGCTTCCGCCCCGTGTGTTTGTTCCCACGCATGGGGCCGCTGGTGGTCCAGGATGGCCACGCCTCGGCGAGATGCGCGGGTGAAAGCACGAGGTCGGAAGAACGGGAAGAAGGTCCAGAAGGTCCTAGGTGCCAAAGTTCCTGGTGCACCAACATAGGAATTGGTCAAATTGTACAACCATGATTTTTACAATAATGCAAACATGGAATTAATAAACCTCCCCTAGTTAATCCGAGCCCACAAAGTCTCCGAAAATCGCCCAAATTAAAAGTAGTATTGGTGGTTGATTTCCCCCCCAATGGTCCCCCCCCAGTTAATCCGAGCCCACAACCTGATCAGTCTTTCGTTCTGTTACTACTACTACTACTACGACGACGACGACGACGACGACTACTACTACTACGTACTAAGTACTAACTACTAAGTACTAACAACTAAGTACAAGCTACTACTACTACTACTACTACTACTACTACTACTACTACTACTACTCCTACTCCTACTCCTACTCCTACTCCTACTCCTACTCCTACTCCTACTCCTACTCCTACTCCTGCTGCTGCTGCTGCTGCTGCTACTGCTACTGCTACTGCTACTGAGCTACTGCTTTTGCTACTGCTACTGCTACTACTATTACTACTATTACTACTACTACGACGACGACTACTACTAACGAACTAACTAACTAACTACTTACTACTTGCTACTTGCTACTTACTACTTACTACTTATTACTTACTACTACTTACTACTTACTATTTCACTTACTACTTACCACTTACTACATACTACTTATACTACTTACTACGTACTGCTAGTACTACTACTACTTCTACTACTACGACTACCACTACTTCTTCTACTACTAGGACTACGACTACGACTACGACGACTACTACTACTTGCTGCTAGTACTACTACTACTACTACGACTACTACCACTACCACTACCACTACCACTACTACTACTGCTACTACTACGACTACGACTACGACTACGACTAGTTATTCAGGGGAGGTGGACCTCATGAATGGTACCTCAGACCTTCTAGACCTTCTACAGTAGACCTTCCACGCGGGGGGGGTTATTAATCCGGTCTTCGCCCTATGGATCGCTATGGCTTGATAGAAAATAGCCCTGGAAGTCCAAGGTCCTACTTTTAAGGGTCCATGGCCTCTGAGGGTATATTATATTGAGAATTACCGAATTAATCCGAATTATATACATTGAATTGCCTCCTGTAGATACACCCCCTTGCGCATATGTATATATAGAGTTATATATAGTTTATATAGGATAGCAATCACGCTGTAGTCTTTGAAGTAAGGCAGGACACCTTTCTCCAACCAAACAAGCCCCCGCCTTTCCTCCTTCTTTCAGCTCACTTGCCTGACTTGTTAGAAGCATTGGCCACTAGCCATTATCTCAATGTTCACCCAGCAATGGATGATCTCCTTATTAAATACATTATGGGAGCGGTGCATTATACTAAGTCCCCTCAGACTAACATCGACCACGAAAATAGTCCATTGTAAGAGTATGCTTATCCACCACCCGGTAAGTCTTCAGGCTTGTGAATCTGCAGGGTATATCAAAACTTGGACCACACAGGATCTTCCCGGACTGCTTGCTGCAGCCCAACTGCGCTGGAGTCTGAGGGCGGCGTTTCCGCTGAAAACCGCTGCTCCGCCGCGGGGCTGAGCCACATGGCGGCGGAGAGGCCACTTGGACTGGAAGAATATGGAAGAATCACGTACCAGGACCATCCGACCATCTGGGTGTCCTGGCTACCCGACCAGGAGGGGAAGGAACGAAAAAGGTTCGGCTGCCTCGGTCCGCCTCGAGACATGGCGGACCCTACATGGCGGACCCTAATGTACACTCTTGAATCATACCCTACTTAACCCCCCCATTTGGATTGCAAGACCTCTTCCTGTGGGGCCTTTCTTGATCACGAGTCTTACATGATGCTCTGGACCCATCCACAGTCGATAGAAATACACTCCCTGGAACTAACTATGGAAGTGGAGAATGGCCCCGAAAGGAAGACCATTTGGAGGCACATCCCCGGTCGACGGTCAGGGCGAGATCCCCATCTCCGCACGAGAGCCAGAAATAGGGCCCCGATCTACACATGATTTGACGACCTATAATAACAGTATCAATATGGATGGATGGATGGACGGACGGACGGACGGACGGATGGATGAGAGGTAACTGAGCATCAACCTATTCCTCTTCCTTCCATTTCCTCTTCCTCCTGCCACACCCTCAGAAGGTGAACCTGGGCCAGTCTTGCAGTACACAGCTTCAACGCCAGGTCACTCTTTTTTTTCGCGGAACGCCATCGGATCTTTGCCGAACTGCTTGGCCAAATGCCCCGCATCTTCTCCTGCTTGGCTCGGCTATCCACTGTGGATCGGTAGGATTATAGACCGGAGCGGCTCACGCTCCAACCGGTGGTGCATTCCGTACGCATCATGACTTCAGAAAATCATGGCCCCTTGATTCCACTTGATGTTTGCTACAAGCTGCCTTGTGCGTACTGGGCTCTTTTTCCCTCCCACACCACAAGTCCGGGGGTAGGTTGACGAAAAAGCTGTTCCTTGGGGGGAAGGCTCTTAAAAGCGCATGGATGCAGTGTCCAAGCCACGCATCCTGCGCACCGTGCTCCAGAAACGTTCAATCTACCGCCGCAACTGGGTGTACGGATGAGTACCCAGGAGGAGATGTGGTGAGACGGCTCCCCACATGCAACGAGAGGTGGCATTGACCCACTCGGTCGAATTAGTTCTTACTCAGCGAGTTGATAACGAAAGATCGAGGGAAGTGTCCCGCGGTTTTGGGTTGTTGGAAGTGCTGCAGCATTTGGAATTGAAACAAACGATCTAGATCATGTGTATATATATAATATCTGTAGAATCCCAGGTCATTCTCTTTGATTCACTGTTGAGCCAAAAAACATCCGCTTTTGCAAGGAAGCATCGGGATTCCTGCATGACTCTCCCCAAAGACTCCCGCGCGGACTGGCGGACTTCGGCACGTCGGACTTCGGTCCGGGTGAAAGGGTGAAACATCTGGAGAAGACCTGAACCACTCCATTGTGGCTCTGGCAGTTCGCCACAAGCTCTTCTTCTCACATGCGGTTCAACGCATGAAGACGCCATGCGACAACTAGAACCCCAACTATAACTGGTGTTTGAACGTTGAACGAGAGTGTTTGGGATAAGATTGGGCCTTAGAAACCCCACAAAGCTCGATATCCGCTGTCACTCACTCCTCAAAATCAGTGAAGAGAACACATCTCAAGCACTGAACTTCCCCATCTTTGTGCTATCAATGTGTACCTCCGGGGTGGTTGACACCCCTCTAAGAGGCTAGTAATTAAGAACCAACATCCCGTCTGGCGCCGCCCTGCTACTCTCCGCTGCCCCACCCTGTGGGGTCTGAGTGCTCCAGGTCTCTCAAGGGTCCGCCGTTCAGTCGCCCTTCGTCTCGCGGTCGGTCAAGCGGCCTCGCTCGCCTGTCCCCCGCGCGCGGGCGGGCAGGGGCGCGGGGGAGACGTACAGTCGAGCTCAAATCATCTCCAAAGGCTTGGATGGGCTTAGCAACTTAGACACTTTAAATGATGAACAGTGGAATTTGTTTGATGACATTTGATGACTGTTTATGAGTTGGCCTTTGTTGGCCTTCAAAAGCCAAATCAGTGAGGATACATGAAGGTCAGCCTCTTGACCATTTTCAATCTACCCACCCACCTTTTTTCCACTTCCTCGAACTCTTCCTTGCGCTCCCCTTCCCCAATTCGCAGAAGGCACCGCCCTACCGGGGCGCCTCCTTCCAATCCACCAGGGTGTAGGGCGTTCCCTTGACTTTGTGGGGCATCGTGGTCGGCCGTCGCTCCCTGCGGCGGGATCGCGGCGGAGCCGTCCGCGGGTCGAAGGGTCGGGTCGGGTCGGGTCGGGTCGGAGAAGGGGACCGCGATGATGCGGGATTCATGATGGTACATGTGTCTGAAGCCCGGAAATCAGAAGAGGGATCTTATGTTCACTCTCTAGATTTCTCTTGGTCGCGAAATCGAGTGGGTAGAGGTTTACGGCATAAGAATTGGAAGCCAATGCTGTCCCTGGAAAGTCGCGAAATCGCTATCGAGGTCGGTCTACTGGACTATATATACCATGTTTCCAACGAAACCCCGAAACTTTCACCTGCAGGACTAGCACCTGTCCCAACTAAGACTCACTAAAAGCCCCGAATACTTGGAGAGAGGGAGGTTACGGCATGACCCTTAGATCCGATTCCGGGAGCTCTGTCCCTTCCCCATCTCCAGGATGAATCCAGACTCCGGAAGCGGTCGCCTCTCGGTCTCGTGCCAATCGATGCATGCCAGCAGCACCAGCTCCGCCACAGCGAAGAGCACCTCAGTACGGCCAAGCGAAGACGGTCACGAGCGGCTCGAGCGACCGAAGCGACCGGATTTGGAGCAGGGCTTTGGGAGGTTGAAGGTCACCAGTGATTCATGATGTTCAATAGCCTGGAGTCATGAACGTTTTTTTTTTAAACGGGCTCTCTCCAATTTCACGCTACCAAACCAGGTCAACCATGTTTTAAGTCTTTGAAGGGTTGGCTCAGACTACGAAGGTAGTCTGGATCATGTCGAGCTGGTGTTATGTAGACACACCTCCTACGGCACTGGCCACTCGCCACTCGCTCGTGCTTCTTCTCCGCAGCTCGTCCACCACGCTCGGACCGGGACTGGGCGTCCATGCAAAGATGGCAGTGAAGAAGCCTGGGGGCCGAGGCGTCCCAACTGAGACATTCGCTTCGGGTGGTGGATCGAAGCCGCTGGGTTTGTGTTGGGGTGTAAGTCGATGTGTCTATACATGAAGGATCATGATGATCATGAAATTATGATGATGCATCCGCTCATCCCTCCTCCAACCCCCAAGCTTCGAGCAACCTGGGGAAAGTGAACCCTTTCTCTGCCATTCGATGGTGGCCCCAGCTTACCCCCACGGGAAGCTACTGTTGTAACATGGAAGTTGATGAAGCAAAGAGGCCCCAGGTTCTTCAAGGCCATCTATCATGGAAGTGAAACACAGGCAGGGAGGGTTAACCTCAACCTCTGAAGGGGTAACTTAACAAAGAAGGACCTTGTCATCTTCCTAGGGGAAGGGATGGGAAGGGCTTTGACATGTTTTGAGGGTCTGGAGTCCGGACCCCTGCTATGGATAGTCCGACCCCTACCAGGCCCTAAGGCTATAGGAAACTCGAAGCAAGGACTCCCAGTCGCAAGGCGCCGCAACAAAACACCTTCTCCATTGTTCTCCCACCAAGCGGCAACAGTTGTCCGAGGATTCTTTCAGCTGAGAGGGCACGCCGCTCCGAACCTTCTTCGACAAGTGACACTGGTAAACCTCCACGGATCACGAGGATCGCGTCGCGCGACGCTGGGAGGCCCTGGGAGGCCCAACAAATTGCACTGAGTATCACTGACATCCCCCATGCAATTCGGCCTCTGTCTTGGACTGTCTGATTCTTTAGGAGTCCATGGTGGCCACTGCCAGCTTCGACCTTAAAGAATCCTGAATCCACAGTGCCCATACCAACACATACTGGGCACTGGCCGTAAAAAATCAGAACACGTTGAGCACAGTGCACACACCTCTTTGGAACCTGGACTCCTCTAAAGAATGGGAACACCCACTCCACACAAGTACCAGTCCATGATGACAACAGCACACAACCATCCAATACAAAACAGGTTCAACCATGTGGTGCCATCTGAACTGGTTCTGTATCAATGTAATTGACTCTATCTCAATGTATGCCATTGGATGCCATTGGCATTGATCTCCAGGCTGAAAGACGCGAGCGTGTGGCAAAAAGTGCACCTCTAAAGAATCACACTCCGCTGCCACTCTAAAAAATGCATGGTGAACTCTAAAGAATGGCCCGCTTTTTGACAACCCGAGTTGTCTGATTCTTTAGGGGAAATGGCAAGGGGGATTCACTGACTTAGATTTAATGAATTCAATCTTGAAATTCTCTGCCAGCACCTCCAACAGGTCATCAATTGAAACCTGGGCACGGGCCTAACAACCCTCCATTTCGGAGACCTGGCAGGGTTCGGTGCTGGTGGTGCTGGTGTTCCTGGGCCTGTCACAAGTTCGTCTTTGCTGATTCTCGGTCCTTCCACCCTTCAGGTGCCTTTAGGTCTTTTCCAGTCAGCGGTGCGGGTCGCCGAGCCCCCTGTTGGCCTCCCAGAGCCCGCCTGGAAGAAGAATTGGAGGTTGAAGAAGGTGAGAGACACGAGGGGGATGGTGATGAAGAGAACGCAACCCACAAAGCCGATCCAAAACCTCCAAAGCCGCGCCAGAAGGCGAGGGCGAGGAGGCGTGCGAACGCGCCGGGTTTCAGGCACATCTGGGTTTCAGGCACATCTAGCAGTGGTGAAGGGGAACCCGTCGGGGGTCGCTCCAAATGGTGTCCTTATTGCAAGGGGAATGTGACCATAATACAAGATAATATAAGATTGCAGGACATATATAAACTCACCAGCTAGTCCAAAAAGGGCAGTGTGATGTTGGTTGAGACCTCCAAAATCCTCCAAATTCATTGGATCATGGAACTCGCTTCGTGCAAAACACGCACGATCTTGCGATCCACTGGCACGTCACCACTGGAGGAAGGTCACCCTGGTCATCCAAAGTGAGTGATGTTTGGACCCCACCTCCCATTCCTGGCTCGAACAGTCAGTCCAGGGATACATGGTCTTTTTCGGCCGTGTCCACCTCCAAGTCCACCGGATTCTGCCGCTTTCGCACCGGAAAGCCGCCGTGCTCCACCGTTCCTAAGCCGGGACGCACCAGCGTCCAGCAGGCATTGCAGTGCTTGGCGGAGAGGTCGCAGAACTTGTCCAGCTCGTTGACCGTCGAGATGAGGAAGAAAAACCCCACGCAGCTCACCTATAGAGGTTGAAGGACCCGAACTAGACTATCCCATAGGTACCCCAGGGCGTGTAGAGCATATTATGTAGAGTTGCAAGCTTCACAAGGGCTAACCACGACGAAGCGCATGGCATGGATGTCAAACAAAAGCCGGTTTGCTGAGTGGTCCGTGTGGTCTAGCACCCCCACAGCTTTCCCACATGAAGTCCGTTTGATGGTGAGGTTCCCTGTCCAGGTGACGGATGGGAAGGACTCACACTGAGCGAGGATCCACATGCTTGCGGCAAGCGGGGTGGCGGCTCATGTGGGGATGTCACCCATTTGGCATGACTTCGTGACTGATTTTGGCATACCTCCAAGTCAGCCAAGGGCCACTTGTTCAAAGCGATTCACGGTGTAATATCCGTGTTCTTGGTTTTAGTTGTGACATGTTTTGACCACAATGCTTTTCCAAGGCAACTTGGCCAAAGGCCAAGGCCAATGTCTTTTCGCAGCGCGAAAGCCTCAGGAGTTCCTGCTTCGAACCCGAGGAATCCTCTGATGCAGTGGCAGGTTCATTACCCAGACGCTCCATCAGACTGCCAGTCCTATGCCTATCAGTTGGGGTGGTGCCAGAGGGGTCTTTCTGGGGCGGCAGTCCTATGCGAGTCCCATGAGTTGCGTCTGGGTTATGGTTCATTGACCCCTGGCTTCAACCACCCCTGGCCAGTCCGAGGTGTCTCGCTCGACGTTTCTGGGCTACCGAAGAACCACGAGTGTGCAGGCCGAGAAAACGCGCGTCTTGGGCCGGCATCACACCAGCCAAGATCAAGGCTAAGAGAGTCCTACCTGCCCACCCTTGCTTGGCAGGAACCTCCGATGGTCTTCATCTGACCTCACGTCGCGATGTTCCGCCGTCGAGCTGTTCGCACCGAGAGGCTAATCCCCACGTTGGAATGTTCCTTAGATCAGGACGGATTGAGATGATTTGAGATGGATTGAGGCCGGGCACTAGGCTGAGCCCACCTACTATACTACCCATGTCTCCTGAGCTGCAGCACCCATGTCTCATACCCATTGGGTCGGCTGGAAGATTCATGCGTTCTCCTTCGAGGTCGATCGAAGCACTGGAGCCGTTGGACATGGACCAATGAGGTGTTGGAACGATGTAGAGAAAAGTTGAGCGGAACCCTGAATTCTTGTTCAGTCGAACAAATGAACAAACAAACAAACAAACAACACACTCAAAAAAGCAAACAATCAATTGAATCAATCAATCAAACAATCAAACAAACAAACAACATCAAACAAAATCAAACAAACTCAAACAAACGCAAACAAAATCAAACAAACAAACCAACAAACCGGGGGGTCCTCGTCTGCATCCATCCCCCATCTGTGTTTCTTCAGTCCGGCGTGATTTTCTCCACTGCGTAATTGGGGTTTCCCAACACTTCGACAAGTCACTGCGAAAATCCATCACCTGGAACCCAAAACAGACTTGTTTACCAGCACTCACAAGACGGGGTGCCGAACGAAGGGAAGAAGTCGGGGTGCCCCTGTCACATCCACGGCCCCTGGATGGGACGAACAAAACCACCCAACTCCATGTGACTCCTGGTATGTGTCCGGCCGTTTCTGGTGCGTTCTGTGGAAGTGACGTGCCCGGATTGCTGGTCAGGGCTGGTCTCGAGGTGTCTCATTCGTCGGCCCTGGTCAGAACTGGTCGGCCCCTGGTTGACTACCCTGCGATTCACCGCCTCCTACCCTGGTGAAAGGGGCTGTTGGTGACCCACAGCCCAAATGCTCTAAGGTGCCGTACATCATCGTTGCAGTTGGACTTGCTCCGTGCGTCCGCGCGCGCGCGCGCGTTTGGACGGCCCGGTACTTCGCCCAAGCTGCGTGGCGATGGCAGAGTTCACGCGCCAAACCAGCAGGAACATGGTACTCAAGGTGGTCTGCGCCATCGGCAGGTGCCAGAAAGTGGTCTGCTCTGGGAAGAAAAAAATAAAAGCTCTCAAAAGAATCATGGAAGTGGAGTTCATCACCTGTTACATCGAGGAAAATGGTGATCCAAGGCTCCATGCCATCCACTTCCATATGATTGCTTCACGGAGTGTAAATTTATTGAACACTTACCACACCTACCACATCCAAGGATCTGCACTTTGGTAGTCTCAATGATGGCAGTCCAATCTGACATGACACGTAGGAATGTAGGATGGCAGCAGGAATGTTACAACTATTCAGCCATTTCTGAAACGGACATGAACCTGTTCAATGCCAGTCTCCCCTACAGTTACAAAGAGCCATTCTCCATGTCTATGAGCATTACCCAGCCTCTCAGACTCTCAGGCCCATCTTCTACAGTACTTTTTGGTGGCTAGCAGCACCAAAAGCGGACCTTTGTGGGCCAGTGCCACCATGCACTTGGCACGGCCGTCCGACTCCAGGCCCACAGGTCCAGCCCGAATGCGCTAAGAATCCATCCCCTTTTTGGATCAGTCTTGATAGCTTTTAGTAAAAGGCATGGAACACAGACTCTGAGACAAATCCTAGACAAATCCTAGAAAAAACCGTCTCCATTCTATAGACTCTTCGAATCTCTTCGAATCTTAGACATGGACTGCACCCGGTCAAAGGCCGTGGTCGCCTTTGTCGGAGTGAAATGAGAATGCCACCCTCCGATCCCCTGCCCTGCGTCCGAAGCCGGACGGGGTGCCAATGTCAACATATGTCACTGAGTCACTGAAGCCAAGTCCTGGAACACCCCTGAAGTTTTGGAAAATGGTATATATAGATGGTTGCGAAAGAAATGCAGGTGCAGGGGCCAGGCTCACCCTCAACCTGGCCCCTATATATACAGTAGAAGTATCAGACACGCAAAAATCCCATGGGATCTCTCCATCGCTCTGAAGCCAAGCCTGCAAGCAAATGAAAAGCACCGAGGAAAACCTGAGCCGGGACGGCTCAGATTCAACTGCATGGGCATAGGTTTCTCATGGTTGCTTCCATATTAAACAACCCTTTCATCCAACCCCAGCTTGTAAGCTGTCTTTGTGGGGGCAAAAGATTTGAACAGCATATAGGAAATGAACATGTATGCCATAATCATAAGGGAAAGGTTTCGTGTTTCGCAACATATGCTTTCTATGACTTTCGCCTTGAAATAGGGAGGCGGACTCCAATCTTTTCATCAGAGTCCAGCCCCGCCATACCTATGCTAGTCCAGTCCACTTGCAAGCCTCCCAGCATCATCCCAAAAGCATATGGAGAAGTGAGTCCCCTGAGCTTCCGTCCGCTCCGCAAAGCTTGAGTGGCTTTCTTCCAGTCCGAGGTGCACTTCCATGAACATGCTCTCCCATCGCTTGTCGCAACGCGAGCGCGAGGAGATGAAACCTCGCAACGCGAGCACTCTCCAAAGACCCCCAACGGTCTCGGGACATGGAAGGAGAGCATGGATCTGTTTCATGCAGCATACAGCATACAGCACACATATGTATAACTATGCAGCATACACACACTCCAACATGCATCATCCCAACCTAGTGGCCCGGCCCCTAGGTCACTAGCTGCGCGCCACTCTGCTCCGTTCCGCTGATGCGGTCTCCGGAAAAATCACGAAGCGGCGCCATGGATCGGGACGGTCTTCGGGACGTTCGGGGGCCCCGAGTTCGGGACGTCCAGTGCTTCAAAACGGGTGGCTTTTGGACCCTCCGAAATGCCCCCCCCAATCCTGCAGCATCACGACACGTGTTTGGTCACTTGCTTCCAAAACCTCTGGAAACATCCGGAAACGCCTTGCGCCACGCCTTACGCTGCACGTTTTCTGCACGTAAACTCTTCGCCTCGCAGCCAAGCAACGATCACTCAACTTGGCCATGCACGAGTTAAGCTTTGTGATACCCAGTTTGATCACCAAGCAGGCGAACAAGCAATATTGGAGCCTCGATGACTTTTGGCTGAGGGATGTTCACCCAGTTGCCGGTGTCAGTCGACGGAAGTAGCTTTGGGTGGAAGACTCATGACTCTAAGAAGCTCTTGCAGGATATGCGGACACAAAGAGATACACGGCTTGCGGGGTGCCATTGGCCAAACACGCCAACAAAAACATACGGTGGCAAACATGATTGCCGTAAGAACATTCACTCACCACGAGTTTCCCTGGCACTCTGTTTCCATCTTCGGGTGCCCTTTCCACGTGAATGGACCATTTCCCAAGGATCAATCCACCGGTCTGTGCCCGTCTGTCTCGGTGCACGGTCTGACCGCTTCGGTCTGACCGCAGCTCGGTGCATGGTGCACGGATGGTGCTCGGATCGGCGCCGCGGACCGCCACGGTCCATCGTTGGCTCGGTCCACCGTTGGGGGCGTTTCGGATGCGACGCCAAGCAACAAGTCATATTCTTGCTTCCTCTTCTGGCTCCAATCTTTCTCTTCGGTGGGTGGACCACACCAGGTGGAATGCTTGGGGCACCCCTGAGATCCGCGGAGTGAGGAGTGAGGTGATGGTTGGATCATTGCGCTTGGGAAGTGGACTTGTCACAGTTGGTAGACAGAAAAGTGCCTTCAAGAAACCATCGTCTGTACTCCGCTGTTGGAGGGAGTCAAGGTGAACAAAAAGCTTTAACAAAATGCTTACTGTACTGAGTGATGATGAAGTCTGCGCTGGACAGTGATGTGAAACCCTGGGTAGGGTTGATCACCCAAGTGGTTCCTTCAAAATGTTCTAACTTGTCAACGGACGGTGGGCTAAATGTTTGACTACCTACGACTACGACGGCTACTACTACCACCACCAACACCACTACGACTATGACGACGACTATACACTCCAGCACCTTCAAAGGAGTCACCAATGGAAGCCGGGAAGCCCCTACACTACTAAGGGACCTCCATTGGACACCCCTTGAAGGTCCAGGCTACTAATTACAACTGATCTGCAAGAGTAGGGATCCTAGCAGAAACTGTTCTCCAGCAAGTGGCTCGTGGGCTCCCTGTAGCTCCCTGTAGCTCAGATGGATCACAACGGCTGCTTAGCTGCTTAACCACCGTCGAAGCGGTTCCTTTTCTCTTGGCTGGCCAGGACCGGACCGGAGCGTTCCCAGAAGAACCAGCTCTTCCTTCCCAGCACAGCCGGAAGGAACCATGAAAAAGGACAGCCTCCCATGGCATTCCCACATGGAACGATCAACCAGGAGGGTGCTAAAGCTCCAAGAGAGGTTAAGTGACCTGAACTAGGACCCTACTGGGGTACCTATGGGATAGTCTAGGGTCATTCAACCTCTGTTGGTTTTAAAGGAACTCAACATCTGGTGGGAAATTCCTGTTCACGTCCCTGCACCAGCCTGATGCATTACCAGTGCCCGTAACCAGCGAGGTTCAAACCATTTCAAACCTACGATGAATGGGATTCGGTGGGGTGGTTTGGGTACCTCGAACGGGGTTGTTAGGCCGCGCGTGAGTTTGGCGCCTCCTTGGCAGCCTCTTCTGCCGCGTTCTTGGCGGTGTTTCCCAGCAAAATGGCATTGAAGTACTTGTCCTTGAAGGAGAGGCGATTGGAAACGCAGGAAGATGGTGGACCAAGACTGCAGAATCAAGTTCGTGGGTGTCCATGGGTACCTGAAGAATCACCAGAATTCCAGCTTGAGGCTTCGGAGGCTTTGAATCTAGCAATGTGCTTTCTACCTTACTCAGTTGTTTTCTCAGTTAAGCTATCCAGTGAGCTCCCTCACTATATGGACACTTGGTGTGATCTTTTGTTGGCTAGCGTAGTAAGTCTTAAGCGGCAAGGGTATAACACAGTTCAAAGAAACTACGAGTCCCACACAAGCGACATCGGTGCACATCACCCTGGCGGCCAGCCGCCTCCAGCCTCGCTTGAGCTCGCGCAAAAAAGCGCGCGCGGGGGCGTCGGGAACTCTCGAGCGGAGCCGGTTCCACACGCCGAGCTGCAGTGAGGCCAACTTTCCCGAAGTACATCCTTAGTGCCGCTGCCCAGTCGGATCTTCGGTTCCGCCGATCACGGCGGTTCCGGTGTTCCACAGAGCCATGGCAGCTGCGAGGTTCTGACTCCCGAGCGATTTCGCTCGGAAAAAGACAGCTTTACCTTTGTTCACCTCCACAAAGGTTAAAGTTTGAAGATATGTAATGTATACGGGCTATATAAAGCTTATCAACTTTATCCCATTGGGTAGGACATTCTTGGGATGACTCCTGAAGTCTCAGCAGTCCCGCCCGACGAAGAAACACCGCTGTTTTTGTCTCATGTGATCTCCCCATGTGATCGGTGTTTGCCTGGGAAAGCTCCAATCAATCTCAGTCCATCCCGAAAGAAAGCCCCCCCTGCCGCACCCCCGACGGTCGCCTGGTTTGAAGGTTCGTTCGTCCAGGCAAATCGCTTGTTTGGGGCACGTCGTGAAATGCCTTTGGCGCCCAAATGACCTTGGACTCTTGAGATGTTTTGGAGGGTTTTGAGATGTTTTGGAGGGTGGATCGATGTGAATGTGGACTAAAAACACCCCTCCAAACAGATGGAACCACCTCTTCACCTTTAGGGGGAGGCTTTATTGTGCTAAAGAAAGCTCCAGAGCAAGGTGGCAATGATGGCAGGCTGTATAAAACTACACCACTGGCAAAAAGTGAGAGAATGATAGAGAATGAAGAAGCCGGGCCTCACCTTTGAATGGAAGAGCACGCACGGTGCGGGGGACCAAGCAGCTGGTGGTGTGTGCACAGCTCATTCCGCACCACGATGTGCCCGGGGTCTGTGAAGTTAAAGCTTCGCCTGCATCGAGCCGGCGATTCAGCCACTGCTTTCCGAGAGGCGAGGACAGTGGGCGGTGAGAACAAAAACGTCCCAAAGACGTATAACATGGAAGTCTGAGTTCACAGCTTTTCATGGTGACGTCTGCTCATGCATTTTGTTTGAAAGAAGGGGCGGTTTATGGTTTACAGGTCCTGTGTATGCCTATGTTAGTCAGAAGTGCTAGTCCACCTTCACGGGTCTTTTTCACCCACTCCCAGCCGAAATCAAATGAAGGATGCGTTTACAGGAAAACAGTCTTTCAGCGTAGCATTCGACCCGGGTCCATGTTCGTTTTCGACAATGCATGCATCTGGGAGCCCACCCAACCACCACCCGAAATGGTTGGCTTGCGGGCCATTTAACCACGCCCACCATCTGCCAACTGGTCCTATTCTGCTCGTGAAACCCAAGGCTTCACTGCTCAGGGTGAAGACCTTTATCGTCACCGATCTTTGGGGAAAAAACCCACGGGTTTGGCCAACTGAGAGGAGGAAAACATGACTCCCATGGGTTATATACAGGGGTTTTAGAGGCTCGATTACACAGATGGGGGTTCATTAGGGCTCCACATTTAGGGGGACGGTTGGGAGGAGCTTAGTTCTGAAACCCTCTTTGGACTCTAAGACCTTCCGCGAACCAGGACATGACAAAGGGTTCCGCGAAGGGCTAAAAAAGGTCCTGCGAACCCAATCGGTTCTCCGAACCTTATTGGCGTTCTGAGTGGTACCCCCTGGGCGTAGCCCTGGTTCTCAACTATGCCCCTAAAGTGGAGCCTGATCCATATATACTACTGACTAGTAACTTAGGACTTGTCGGACATACGCGCCAATTCCAAAAGCCTATGTCATCAAGATTGATCCAACATTGGCATTTCCTCTTAAGGCCTATGTCATCAGGCCACAACCATGATATTCATAGAAATATGTATGAGGTATTCAAGGAAACAGCGCCCGCAAAAACACATAGTCGCACCCTATGTCACCACTGTGTCACCAGGGTGCCAGGCAGTGGTATCTAGCATTATTTAGCTGTGTTTTTACATTTTTTGTCGAGGAGGTGTCCACAGGTCCTATGACACCAGGTTTCCCAACCCAGACCTTTTTTTTAGCTCGATATGTCAGAGCACATGACTTAGCCCTGGGGGTAGCCAGATTGGTATGTCACTTGCATCACGTTGGCCTAAGTCATTAGACAGTAGTATAAACCACCTTTGGAGGATTGTGCCATCTACTCTCGGGACCCACTATACATGGGTTGGAACGCCACCTAAACATGGCCAGTCTTCGGGGCCATCCGTCCGAGTTTTCGGGGCGCCATGCCATCGACTTAACCATGATCTTCCTGGTAGTGTTTTGGGGAGTGTATATGAATGTACCGGCACCCTCCTGGCCAGGTGCTTCCTGGTGACGTTCGTCCGGTGCCCAGAAGAAACCAACAAGCAGCCGACTTCCTTCGAATCGGGGACATGGCAGTCTGACCAGCTGGTAGGGTCTCCAAACAGCCCAACCTTGGAGGGTCCTGGTATACGCTCCATGTATGCCATATATGCCTACATTAAGCCCTCAAACCACCCCAATGTAGGCATATATACCATACATGGAGGGTCCTGGAGTCCTGATTCATATGATGCTTCACGGCCAGCAGGTCTCGGCCTCGCAATGTGTAGAAAATCATCGAACCCCTCCTGGAGCAAGGACGCCGAATCAAGACGATATCCATATCCGATCGACGTCCAGAAAATAGAACGGAGTGTGTGAAAATGACTCCCAACGCCCACATGCTTTGACTACTTCACATGACCGAGTTCTACCAGGTGTCCCGCACCAGCCTGGTGTGCATCGCAACAAAACCGGGCAAAAACCTAACAACACATGGGCGGCATGGGTCGTCAAGTGGTCGGACCAGTCATGCCATGGACCGTTTTGCCCAATGGATCGGCTCTCAATGCTGTTATATCCCGACCGAAGTCTCGAAACGTCAGACAATGATGGTCCACATGGCGGCAGCTCATGCGGTGTCGTTTTCGTAGAGGAAATGCCCTCTCAACCGGCATTTTGTTTCTTGGGCGTGAAATTGGTGTCTGGAGGCTTCCCGGTTCCGACTCAGGTTCTTTGCAGGAACTCCAACAAACCTTCTTCTGTTCGCTCGCGTGACACAGCTTCGGGGGAGTCAGCCCCGATTCGCGGCAAAAACAACACACCTCAAGCGCCGGCATCAGATCCAAGGGTCCGCTCATGCCGTTTTTCGAGGCTCGTGCCGTTTTTGGGAAGCAGAGGCCTCAAAAAAATAAGATGAAAACATATGAAAACCGATCCAATCAAGGAAAACCCATCCAAGGAGTGCCCAAGACCCCGATCCAATCATTCCCCACCCCGGCCCCGGGTTCCGGTCCTGCACCTCTGCCGCGGCGTGTTCCACCGTCCCGGCGCTATCTTCCAGCCGCTGGAGCCTGGGAAGGTGGTCACGGTGGACAAATGGAATGACTGATTGGTGCTTAGCAGGGAATGAGGGAATGGATCCATTAGAATCTCTATTGGGGGCTCATTCCCTTATTCCCTACTAAGCACCAGTCAGATGAAGTAGTACGTCTTCCAGCAGAGGTGGGTCAGAACCCGAACCTTCGACTATGAAGGTCCTGGTACTGGTCGTCTGGTCTAGGTGTTTTTTCTCCGGGTGTTGCATGGTAGATCCACTCATGTGGTACCTGGGTGATGTATAGACAACAGTATCCAAAAGTCGCATCCTGTGGTGGTTCTTGAATGCACAACAAATTGCACAACATCACCTGGAATACTTATGTCATCTATTGTCATCTTATGTCACTTAGGCGCTAGTAGTGAGCATGTAGCAGTAGTGACATGTAGCAGTACTGTAGCACTGGTATTCCCCACATGTGACTTGACTCAGCGGACTGGAACACATACCACCCAGACGCTCCAAATAGCCCTTGGTCCCTCAAAACCATAGGGATTTGAGGGTCCGGACCCTTCCATATGAGGGTACGGCCCCTACTTAGCAGGGTTTATGAGCGTCTGGGCAGGACCTCCCCGCTTTTGGGGGGTCTACTAGCCCTGTTTGAGGCTCCACAAATGTCTATGGACCGCTTGGGGCTTCCTGGTGCACCGCTCCGTCTCGCGAGGCTCCGCCAGTCACCGCTCCGTCTCGCGAGGCTCCCGGCGCATCTCCACTCAGGCGCCTGACACGAGCGTGGAAAGGAAGGACACGAGGTGTTTCCATCTCCCAGACACTCCATGGGACTGCCATATATGCCTACATTGGGGTGGTTTGAGGGGTCAATGTAGGCATATATGGCATACATGCAGTGTCTGGGTCTTAGTGTTTCAAGAGATTCGGTCATTTCTGTTCAGCTCCGACACCGTACAAGACTTTGGAACTTAAGCCATTGGTCTACCAGGAGCCTGAATTGGGAGGGCAACGAACGAAAATTGGTTGGTATACCCAAACAATAATGGGAGAACCTTCTTAAAGTATAGGGGAAGCATGGGGAAACACCCATTACCACGGCTATTGATACAAATAGCAGCTCCAAACATGAGACTCCAAACCGCCCTCCAACACACACTACCCCCACCACCAAAGCTTAGTAGGAATCTATTGCGGTGTCTGATTAGTGGATATGAGATATAAGTTATATATTATAAGTGCATATGAATATGACTTTTCAAGGGGTGCCCAATGAAGATCCATAAGTAGTGTAGGGACTCCCGTCGGTGACCCCAGAACAAGGTGCTAGCAGGTGTATATATATAATACATAAATATATCAAGAACATGTATATATATATATTATACATACACCTAGTAAATAAATTACATAAATACACATATATTTATACACATACACACACACATATATATATATATATGCATCCATTTCACTCACACCTCCCGTCCGGCCCCTCACTCAACTCCTTCTCCCGTCCCGCCACGTTCTCACGACCCGCCTCTTCACCTCATCGCTGGCGTTCACCGCCGTCTGCCAGCGACTCGCCTCCGCCAGCTCCGGGGGCCAGTAATGCCTCGGTCCGGTGAGCGCCGGGAGCCGACGCGGGGGGCAAAGCCAACGGGGAGCGAAGCCAGGGGGTTCCGGTGGGTGTGTGTGGTCTCCTGTTTGGACCTGTTTGATGGATGAGTGGATGAGATGGATGCGACCCAAAACAATGGCATAGCTCCACTACTGGACTTGAAAGACATCTCTTTTTGGCTGTTCGGGCCCAAGTCGGTCGGATTCACCAAAGTTGCTCAAAGGCGGCAGGTTTTGGCCCAACAACTTCGTCCTCTGCGAGAGCGGTTTAGACGTGTCCGCAGGGGTTGGGGGCAAAGGCACCTCCTCCCACCCCAGGTGGATTGGGCCGGGTGAGGTCAGGTCAGCATCAGTTACGAGCATCAAAACAAGCAAAATGAACAAGTATCATCAAGGATCCAAGACCTAAAGGAACCAGATCATCCTTAAGAAATCACCAGGTATCATCCTTAGAATTCCCAAGTAATTCCCAAATCCATCTCAAATCCCATGACTTCCTGCGGATGTTCCAGTCAGTCCTACTTCCACTTAGTGGCACCGTCTTCGACCCCGGACTCCCCCCATCTCCGTCGGTTTCCCCGTCGGAGTCACCAAGAGTGATTCTCATCCTGTTCAATGACGCAGGACGCATGGTCCTGCCACTTCGGTGCCACATCGGTGCAGGGAGCCCCCAGTTTTACAGAGTGGATGGGGGTGGTGTGGAAGGTGGGGGTCAAGCTGCTGGAAGCTACTCTTCGATGAAAGTGCAGTTCTGCCGAACTTGGCTGGCTCATGCTGTTGGAAAAGATGGAACGGCCAACATCTTGCGTAAGATCCAGGTAAAGGGCAGGATTGCCCAAAGAAACCTTCAGCCCATTGCATTCCAAGCTGTCCGCACCTGGCAGCTCTGGTATGTTTGCTGCGGTTTCGGCGGGAAACCCTGCTGTCGCCCATGAAACAAGCAAATGCTCCTGTAGAAACATACCATGACACTAGGACACGTGGGAAAATGGCCTGTATAAACAAACAATACATGGGCGGTATGCCTTCATATGCCTTCTATGCACCTGGTATATATATATATATATTCTGCCAGTTGGTGATCTACCGTCAATGATAGGCTTTTCCAGGTTGCGGTTCCACCAGCTGCAACCAGCCCGAACCTGACCCGGCAGGACGTCCTACCCGGGTTCGTCCGAGTGGAGCATCTTGTTTGGGTGCACTGGCTGGACAAACTACCCTACACTACTTAGAGATGTCCAGACACACGGGTCGGGTCCAGGTAGATGATCGATGGCCAAAGGCTGGCCAGCGTGCCGAAGCCGATAGAGCATTTCACAGAATGGGCGAGAACATCAATAATGTCTCAAAAAGATTCAGAAAACGGAGGGTCATGGCTCTTTTCACCCTCTTTGTGGCGCCACCCATCCACCATCATCCATCCATCCCAAGCATCATCCACCCCGACATGCTTCGCCCTTGCACCCTTACGTCCACCGCCCGCTCCGATGCGAGATGGCGGGAGAAGCGCCCGGTCCTTCTCCGCAAGCGCGTCGTTCATGATCCGCTCCTTGGCGGCTTCGACGTCTTCGCAGTCGTGGTTCAGGATGAAGACTCCTCGGGGGAAGACTCCGCGGATGGGGAAGACTGCGCGGTGAGTGCGGGGGGGCGGTGTGTGTGCCTACAGAGGAGGCAGCATGACCGCACAGGTACATGTACAATTTGACCGCACTGAAACATCTTTTGATGTCAGGTGTGATGCAGCCCATGTTTGATGGGTATTTATCAGGCCAGGGGTGTTTCTTTTTTCAAGTTTTTGGGCACGCATGCATTGCCATACATGTCTTTCCCAACCCCAAGCCCAAACCCCCCAAAACCACGGGTGCTTTGATCGTGTTCCACTCCTTTGGAACGCTTGTCCCCTATATCTTCGCCAGCGCTCGGCCATCGGAACATCGCACTTGGCCCCAAGGCACTTGGCCATTAGCCCTTAGGGCACTCCAACCTAAGGCCCTCGAGGCGGTTCGGTGCTTCGTTTCCTTCCCGGCCGTTGACGAAACGAACCACCGGGTGGACCGACCCAGCTGACTCCACGTGGGCTGACCGCTCTCTGGGAAGGACAGTGGAGAATGAAATAGCTGGAACCCAACTTGATTGACCCCTGTTTTGATAGGAGAAAAGCCATAGAACAGGGGTGGTGGGTGGTCCAGAAGTCATTCAGGTTCGCACGGCGGTTCGCAGGTTCTGTTCACTTGATCTTGCTGACTCTGTGGCCTCATGCTGTGCTTCTGTTGCGGGCACAGGAAGGGACATTCTCGCAGTTCCTATGAGCGGGTCAGGTTTCGGGCTGCCTGAGATCCACCAAGTGGCTGCCTGGCATCCACCGGCTATACCTTTGAACCATGGAAGTGGATGGCCTATCCCAAACGCCCCGTGGGACTGCCATATATGCCTACATTGAATTCTCAAATTACCCCAATGTAGGCATATATGGCATACATGGAGTGCTTGGGTATTGGATGACCATCCAATAACGGACACACATACCGGTGGCCGGGGGGTTGTGAAAAAGCATTACAGTAAAATGCCTCGCGGCGTACACCCTTGCAGACTGACATAGAACCTGAAAAATACCATGTGTTCAGAGCGCTGTCCTCTATACGACCAGTGTTTTCAGGTTCTATGTAGGGTGCCATTCTTGGTGATTCTATAGGCCACACACCTCGACCCTCAGACCCCGACCCCTTGGCCCTCGGCCCTCGACCCTCTTTTTCGCTGTGCGCACGGACCGCAACCCGTTCTCCGCCCAGGCACGCACGGCTCCCCTGAAGGGCCAGCTCTTCACCTGGGGGCGGAGGCGCGGAGGCGCTGCCAGCGCTGCGAACCCCCGCGGCGAAGGCATCGAGCCGCTCGATGCTTCGCCGTTTCAGCATTCCCGCTGAGGACGCACACGGTGTGGGCCGATGATGACAACACCTTTTTGCCTCAAACGTGTCATTGACCAAGCCAAGCAGTATATAGTTCACATCTGGTCATGTGTTCATCTCTCTTGATGTTCCTCGGAGGCCTTGCGAAAGTCTCGCAGACCTTCACACGGCACTCAGCAGAGCGGCGCACCAGTTTCGTGATCGAAACGGATCGGAGCCAGCTACACGTCGACCCTCAGCTCCACCCCGTCCTTCTTCGGCCAAGCAGCGGTGTGGGGCGAAGACTTCTTCATCAAATCGTGGTGGTTGTGCCACGAACTGAGCGAGCTTCGCGGCGCGGAGGATCCGTCCCACAACATCGAAGGAGATGGATCCTCCACGGGAGGATCCAATTCCTCATATGAAAAACCCCAGACGCGACCTGTCTGGGACTGCCATAGGACTGCCGCCCCATTGACCCCTCAAACCACCACCCCAACTGATCGGCATATATATGGCAGTCCCATTAGTCGTGTCTGGGAACTTCTGACATTCTTTCAGTGGGGGCATGGCATGTTCCAAGATTCCCCCTCCTCAAACATCACACCACACATTGAAAGTGCCTCTTTTTGGGGGGGTGCCAGGCGCTCTGATCCAAGATGATGGAAGACGTGGCACCGAGACAATCGGGCGCCCTCTTCGTAACGGTTCGGTCGACCGAATCGCCTCAACAAGGCCATCGGGCACGGACCAAAGAGGAGACATGGACCATCTGACAGACCTGCCCCGAAAGGTACAGCTGGCCGTTTTGGCAACCCAGGCGGCCCTGGCGGCTGGAAGGAGCCATACCAAAAGCACTGCACTTGACATATTTTCCGAGAAAAAGGGCGCAGGAGGTTATGAAAGGAAACATGCTCAACATGTCTTTTTTGGCACTGGCAATATGGGCCACCGTGTGGCAGCCACTTTCGGAAAGACCTTGCGGCATACAGTTCCCAAACACGACCAGTATTGGGGTCGGTAAAGGAGTCAGCGTACAGCGTAGGTCATTAAAAGTACTTGTACATTGTGCAGGAAAGAGATGCCATCCACACTGGATATTGACCTTCAAGCTGTCCGTGGTCTGAGAGGTCCGAGACCGCCAGCAACACATCCACACCTTGAGCCCATGAAACACATATACCCTGAGCGTCAAGGACTATAAAAAGAATAGTCCAGGGGGGCCGGCCTTTCTTTGCTGCTAACGACTATTTCCTTATAAATGGGCCTTGCACCAACCTCCAAGACCGGAACGTTCGCAAAACAACAGCCATCTTCCAAGCTGCTCAAGCGCTGCTATGCCTTTTGGAGCAGCGCATTCGGGAATCTTCTCATTTGGTCATATGTGAGACATCGCGGCTCATCCGCATTGTGAAATGAAGATGGCACAGTCTTACCGGAAGGAGTGGGATAATTGATGGGTTTCCTAGTTCTTATTGAGGTGAACATGGATTGGATGTTGGAAGATGAAGAGAGCCCTCAGGAAACGTGCCAAACTCAGGGAACTCCTATTTTTGAACTGCTGGCCATTTCCAACCTGGCTACAGCCTGGCCTGAGCTCGAGGCGCTCTGGAACAATCATGTGGTGAAAATATCATCGAGGTTGACTCCAATGCAGGCCTGTTTTCACCGCTGGCCTTCACATGCATGGCTTGTTTTGAACGTGCTATCCCTACCGGCATCTATAGGCCTATATAATAGACGTCCTATCTTCAGTGGTTCTTGATGAAGAACTTTGCACTTGCACTTGCACAAATGAACTTGCTCTCTCCAGCTCAGTGGATCAACTCCAAGATCTTGCTGCTTAGTTTTAGGGGCTTTAGGTCTGCCATGTCGGGCACACCGAAACGCATCGACCCAGAACGCCTCGAGCTGCTCAAGGCACGCACGTCTAGCAGCCTCTCACCGGATCACTGCGCACTCTGGCAGGTCTTTTTTGGAGAACTCCTGGACTCCGAACACTTCATCGACGACAGGAGGAAATTGCTTCGCAAGAGGGCAGGGATTCCAGATAAAGACAAGCATCGTAGAGTCACATCCTCAATTTCATCAAGTCATCTTATATTTAAATGATCATGTCATGTTGGTTGATCCTAGATCCCATATAGATCTTTTCAAAGCCCCCAGGTGCCCAAATTTGAGTTCCTGATTCTGGAAGAATATGGCGTACTTGGGGAGGTAGAGGCGTGCGGCAAACAAAATCTTCCGTCCTTGACCAATCGATCTTGAGATCCATAGACTTCGGCTCCCTGAGCATGGCAACCGTCTCACTGTCAGGTCCAGGAGAGCCCGAACTGGGAGTTCGCGATGACTTGGATGGCATCATTTTGTTCAGATTTACCCCGCCAGGTTGAGGTAGAGGTGGGGAACAACTCTTGAATTTTGTTTCAACTTCTGGGTTCCATGTGTGTTTTAGTTTTGTTATTCAATTTCTGGAGGCTGCGTTGGAGTGGTGCCAAAGGACATACAAGTTGAACCCCTTTGAGAGCAAAAGCCAGCTTCAGGCCTGCTTAGCTACAGGAATCGGATGGCTTGGGGGTGGTTAAGGGGCGGGTTAATTTGTTTGAGCTGGCTGCCAGGCATGGTGCGAACAAGAAGCTTCTGCTGTTCGACGTCTTGGATCATATTGTATGGAACGCTTTCAGCGAAATTCTGGTTGCAGGCTGGCTATCAAATTTGTAAGTCCAAAGTTTTTAATTGTCAATTTCAAAAAACTAGCCGATGTAGGCGTGGTGCTGAGCGAATGGAGATGGTCAAGGAAGTGATTCGGAACCAACTGGAGGCCCTGGAAATTCCAAAGCCCATTGGCTACCTAAGCTAAGCTATAAGCTTATAAGTATACAGCAACCGTTCCTATCTGTTGCTGCCCTTGTGCGTATGAGATGTGTAGGCTGCCGGGCTTTTATTGGAGAATGGCAAGAAAAAACCGTCCAGAGGGCGCGGTATCGTAAAGCAGGTGAGCCATTGTGCATGATGATCAAATTAGTTAAATTTGTTTTCAATTTCTGCATATTTTTTGTTTCGCAACTTTGCAGGTGACATCATCCAGCATCGACAATGCTGACACTCAGGCACTGGACGCGACAGAGCACCTAGATCAGATTCAACAGCAAACACAGACTCCGGAGTCAGAGACTGAACAGCCAATACAGACTCGGGAGACAAAGACTGAACTGACAACAGAGACTCGGGAGGAGACTGAACAACCAACACAGACTCGGGAGACAGAGAATGAACAGGAAGTTCAGGAAAGCCAGGTGTTGGAATCTGAGGAACTGGCCAAACCAGTTCCTGGCAATCTAGATGACTTGAGCCAGACGCAGCCTGACTCACCCACACCACAGGCCGAGGCTGAGCGTCCCGCTGCTGATGTCAGGGCATCAGAAGAAAAAGAGGAACCCCCAAAGATTGAAGCACCCAAACCGCAGGAACCTTCAGTTGAGGTGCAGACGGAGGGGCCTTCCACCGGTTTGACCGCTGATTTCCAGAAACTGTCAGTAGGACCAGGTATTCAGAAGGAAGACCCGGAGGTTGTGGAGATAGATGGCCTTACCAGTGCAGAGGAGAATGGCAACACCAAAGGAGTACACAAGGATCGATCTTTTTTTCCACGTTTTGTTGAATCAATTCGATCAATATTGCCATGAAATCGGAGGAAGGGCTTGACACTTATATCCACCTCGCGGCCGTTGTCTCCAGGACAGAAAGCCTTTGGGCACACTCCCAGCCCGGGAACAATCTATCGCAGCAGCAGCCGAGGAACAGATTTCCTTAATTGAAAAAAGCGCTAAAAACGAAGAGGAGGAAGACCTTTTGCAGGCTAGGTCATGTCCATGTTGCAGTCCGCACACACTGTTTTATTTTGCTTGCGCTCGATACAATGCGCATGAGGCGACAGCAAAGCTGAGGGCCGTCGCCCGAGAGGCTGAGGCTGCAGAGGAGGACCCAGACAAGGCATTCGCTGATGAGGAGGATATGGGTGAAGTCGGTCCGGGAAATGGGAAAGGACGTGGCCGAGGGAGAGGGAAAGGAAAAGGGAGGGGGAAAGGGAAAGCAAAAGGGAGGGGGAAGAAGGCTGCTCAGGCTGCAGAGATGCCTGAAGAAGCTCCAGCCACCAAAAAAGCAAAGAAGACCTTTGTTCCCCCACCAGACTTGGAAGACAGCCAACCCCAGATTCCCAGCCCTTGTGTAACTCCAAGCCCGAAGTCTTCGAGCGTCCGCAGGCTTCCTTCCAAACGCCTTCAAAAGCTGAGGTCCTTAAGCAAGCGTTTGCGCCGCCAGAATACTGAAGCAGTGCCAGGACCAGCTGGCAGATCTGCATCTGCATCCGGAGGCGTCAGGAAGCGATTGGACTTTGAACATGAGGGTGGTGAAGCTGACCAGATCAAAACCAAACGAAGGACAAAGAGGCGAGCTTCCAGCAAGGCGTTGGAAGGTGACGGGTCAAAACCTGTTGGTGAGAAGAAGTCAAAGAAACCTAGGACAAGCTCCGGGTCCAAGAGGAAGGAAGCAGGTGGCACCCATGAACCAACGCCTATGGAGGGTGAGATTGCGGACGACCAAGGGTCAGATCATGAGATGACACCTGAAGAAGTTGCTTGTAAGGAGACCCTTTCATCTCAATGGCAACATTTGCCATTGACTTGATTCCAATTCCAGACCTCATGATTCATGATGTTTGATTGCTCGGGATGCGCTCTTCTTGCAAGGAGGCAAATTTCAAGCACTTCCGCGAATCGTGCGATGCACACCCCATCATGTCCAAGATGAAGACGATCCCACTCGGGACCCCAAGGGGAAAGTGTTGAGCTCAGCATTGGCTCGCATAAGATCCTTTCGTTTGTAATCCCTGGGCAATTCCTTGGTCAATTTTGACGGAAACAATTTGAACTCGCAGGTCGTTCACATTGAAGCCCTACGACTCCATGCTTCCTGTGGATACGCACGGTCCATTGTCTACCATCGGAGTTTTGTCCAGTACTGAGATCGATATTGATCAATCAAAATTTGGTAAATCAAATCGAACAAACGAGCCAAGGTTGCTACAAAGCCGCTCAAAAACGGCTTCTTTCTACGTCAGTTCGGTGCCCGCAGAACGCGCAAAAGCAGTTGCCGCCAAGTCCGGGTATGATATCAAAGTGGGGGTCCCAATTTTTGAACTGTTGATCTGAATGATGTAAACGGTGTGATATTGGTTTAATGGTTTGTCGCAGGTGAACAAGAAAGGAGGAGCGAGCCTATCTTGGAAAAAGTATGGGGATTTTCCAGCCGTGTTGGGGACTAAGGCATTTATTTGGACCAGGGCAAGGCTTGTAATCACAAACAGGTTCATTTCGATCCGCGCCTGAGGCTCAATCTGGCCTTGGCCACTGCCGGGTGGCCACACGTGACAAACTACTTCAATAGAGATGTCAATTGATCGTGCTGAGTTTGGGCCATTTCAAATTTTCAGTGGGCCTGGAGGGGTCATGAAGTAGTGCCCAATGGAAGTGGTGTTCTGATAACTTTTTCGCGCTGCTTGCATGTGAAGAATAGAGTTCCGTTTAGTGTTGCGTAGCTTGAATTGGGTTGGGAGTTGGGCCTACTCATGCTTGGGGTTTAGGTTGCAGCTCAAGCGGCTGCAACACTTGCAGTTATTAGAGATCCGATGCGGTGTCTTAGAGTGCACTCTTCACACTGCAAGCGCAATAACACTACCACAAAGAAGAGTTCCTTCCAGGAAAAGTACCAAGTAAAATATATTATACAATTAGCAAATCAGCAAGTCAGCAAAACTAGATTTTGTAGTTGTTGACTTCCAACTCGTACGTACTGCGCTTGCAGTGTGTGTGTGTGTGTGTGTGTGGTAGGAGTGTTGGCCGAGTGGCACGCTGACTAAAGGACATTTGAC